TGGTTTTTAATGTAATTACAAAGTAATTTACCTGAAACTCTTGTTTTTCCAGTGAAAACAATGGTTGGTTAATCATAGCTTTAATAATGAAATAGATAAGTCATTACAGACTTTTTGCTTCTGGAAGTATATGAATAGTTAAAAGATACAGAAGGTAGATTTGTATAAACTATTTGAAGAGTACAAAAATATTTCAGTAAGATGAGGATGCAACTGGGGTGTTGAAACAATGCCTAGATTTTGTACTGCTCAAGAACATGTAACAGATTATGATCAATAAATTTGTTTTTGAAGAGTTGAAAAGCAGAAAGGTTATTACATATTATCTATAGATATTCTTTATTCAGTCATTACAAACAGTTTAATTATTGTTTCACTTTGAAGAGAAGAGGGACACTTAAGATTTAATATAAAGATTTTAAGATCTACAATAGAAGGCAATAATCATTTTTAAAAGATTTTTATGATTTTTTTTTTACTTCATATTGACAAGTTAATAGCTTATAAGATCTATAATTTATGATTTCAACCTTACAAAAGAATGCAATTGAATACTAAAGGTAACCTAATGTACCATATTTTTATTTTCTGTTGTGAAATTAATTTCCATTTTTAACACAATTTTAGTTATTGATCCATGGTATCTTCCAGCTTTAACCATATAATTTCTTGCCTTGGAGATGGGGCAATTTATCATGTTTGACAGAAAAATCTATAGGAGTACATCAGACATGATGGGTACAGAATATTGATGATATGTTATATGTTGGTTAAAATGTCTTCTTCATTTTCTTATAGACATGTCAGGTCTTATATAACTGAATCTTGATGGGAATATTTGATGTAGAATCATAGAAATTTTAAGGATAGAGCTAAGTGCTTGTTAATAAAAAAAAAACGCTTGGTGTAAATAGTTGAATTTGTTTTTATACGACCGCAAAAAAATGCGGTCGTATATTTGTATGACATTGGCGTTGTCGTCGTCATCGTCATCGTCCGAAGACACATTGGTTTTCGCACTCTAACTTTAGTTTAAGTGAATGGATCTCTATGAAATTTTACCATAAGGTTCAATACCACAAAAGGAAGGTTGGGGGTTATGGTTAAGGAATTAGGGGCCAAAAAGAGGCCAAAAATAAGCATTTTTGTAACTTCCAGACATAACTTGTGTGTTAGTGTATGGATCTCTCTGACATTGTACCACAAGGTTCCATATCACAAATGGAATGCTGGGATTCATTTTGGGGGTAATTGCCTCAAAATTGTAGGAATTAGGGGCCAAAAAAGGGCAAAAAAAACAAGCATTTTTCTAGTTTCATGACAATTACTTGTGTGTAAGTGTATGGATCTTTCTGAAATTGTACTACAAGGTTCCATATCACAAAGGGAAAGCTGGAATTGATTTTGGGGGTAATTGCCCAAAATGTTTAGGAATAAGGGGCCAAGAAGGGGCCAAAAATAAGCATTTTTCTAGTTTCCAGACAATAACTTGTGTTCAAGTGTATGGATCTCTCTGAAATTGTACTGCATGGTACCATACCACAAAGGGAAGGCTGGGATTAATTTTGGGGGTAATTGCCTCAAAATTTTAGGAATTAGGGGCCAAAAAGGGGCAAAAAACAGGCATTTTTCTAGTTTCAGGACAATTACTTGTGTGTAAGTGTATGGATCTTTATGAAATTGTACTACAAGGTTCCATATCACAAAGGGAAAGCTGGGATTGAGTTTGGGGGTAATTGCCCAAAACGTTTAGGAATTTGGGGCCAAAAAGGGGCAAAAAACAAGCATTTTTCTAGTTTCAGGACAATAACTTGTTTGTAAGTGTATGGATTTTTATGAAATTGTACTACAAGGTTCCATTTCACAAAGGGAAAGCTGGGTTTGAGTTTGGGGGTAATTGCCCAAAACGTTTAGGAATTAGGGGCCAAAAAGGGGCCTAAAAACAAGCATTTTTTCTAGTTTCCAGACAATAACTTGTGTTCAAGTGTATGGATCTCTCTGAAATTGTACTGCAAGGTACCATACCACAAAGGGAAGGCTGGTATTGAGTTTGGGGGTGATGAATCATAAGAGGGTTCAAAAAATTGGGGGGGGGGGGGGGGATTTTTTTTCCCTTTTTTTTCTTTAAAATTTTCCATTTAAAATTGGTTATTTCTGATTTATATATTAAAGCAAATAATAATGATATGGTTTGAATAGGTAAATTAAATTTTTTTAAGTTCTAAGACCACATTCATTCTGTGTAAGAAACCTATGCTGTGTCAAATATTTAATCACAATCCAAATTCAGTGCTGTATCAAGCTTGAATGTTGTGTCCATACTTGCCCCAACTGTTCAGGGTTTGACCTCTGCGGTCGTATTAAGCTGCACATGGGACAGGCACATATATAATGTGGCGGAATTAAACTAGTTTGCTGGCACCAAACCCTTCCCCTAACCTTGGACAGTGGTGTAAAAGTACAACATAAGAACAAACTATAAAGATCAGTTGAAAAGGGCTTAACTCAACAGATCGATACAAAGCAGAAAACATCTAACGAAAACACAGACAGAATGTGGCAGCGTATCTATACATACCACAACAAAAAAGGCACTTAGTAAAGATCTGTAAAGTACTAACAGTTACTGACAGCTAGTACTGACAGCTAAGAGTGCATTTGTTTTTAACCCGAAATTTTGTCATCGATGACTATCATTTAGTCAATGTTAAGCTGCTAGAAACAAATTCATCATTTAATGACCTTTATCAACTCCACAAAGTGAGACAGAAATAGATTCATACACACTCCGTAAACAAACAGGCAAAAGTGGGGCCAATGAATGACCAAGACTTTGCAAAAAACAACACGTGCTTGTAATTATTTCATCGACAGATGCAGAAACAAATTTATCGTTTATACGTCTCAACAATAAACGATCAACGACTATGCGACTATTGTGCATGTACATCGTTTATTTGAACGATGTCAACGTTGACCAAAAAATGTAAGAAACAAATGGATTAAATGACTATGCGCGTGATCGTTTATAGACATAGGAAGATGTGGTATGAGTGCCAAACAAATGCGCTTTAAGTTTTGTCTGAAAGAAGCAAGGAATTTTGATTTGTTTCCGCAGTTGTATACCACAAATGTACTTAGAACAGTACTATATTGTCATAGAATGAGCAGGTTTTTGAAATTTTAATGATAAGCCTTCCTTGATTAGTCTACACTTTCTGTATATATTATCAGTACTATTTTGGTACCATAGTTGACTGTTTGACCTCAGAAATCAGTAAATTAGTATCAAGTGTTATAGAGATATGACTGCACCTACCATTTGAACTCTGTTAAGATAAAACATCTTTCCTATTTTTATATTTTATTGAGTAAAGACAAACAACAGATGTTTAACCCACTCTCACCCATAGTCTAGCCTGCTTGGTTAAGTACATCAGTATTGTACACCTTTCTATTTTGATAGAAAACACATTATTGACAAGGAATCATGATTTGATATTAAGACATCATGTCTTATCTGAAGAACTGATCTCTTGTTTGTTGAAAAAAGTCTTCCTTCTGGGATCTTCTGCCAACTTTAATCAATTGAAAAAAATCAGCACAAAATCATTTTGGTCATTGACATCTAGATTTAATCCATCAGAGATAGAAGTGGTTCTATGTGATCATTTACAATCTCATCAAAAGTTACCTCTATTGATGTTGCATGAGTTGTCTTTATACTTGGAATAATGTAGTATTTCCCTGTTTGTCATTACAAGAGTTGTATTTCTTTGTGGAAAAAAAAACAATCTCATTTTCATACTGTATTACAAGAGTTATCTTTCATTGAAAAAGGTGCAATCCATATAGCGTTGTTTTCCTGTTTCAAACTTTTAAAAAGTGACCTCTATGCATACTCTTTATAATAGTTATCTTTCTTACAAGGAGCTATTGTTATTGAGCTTGCTAACTTTTTGCTTAGTGTGAGGTATTAATTGAAGGACGCATATTCCTCCAAATATCTGCACCAATTTTGGCAGACATCTAAAGTAGTGCTAAAATAAGTCATTAGTTATTTGCATGAGACCAATTCATTGCCTGTAATAATGTTCAATGTCAAAGTATTGACTTCTGCCAGATTCAATGAAATCTTGTTGAGTAACATTGGACTTATCAATTTATCAGTAGTATGCAAGAAACCCACACTGGTTGTAATTTGGTTTAGTTACTTGGCAATATTTGAAAACGGAATTATTCACTAGTACTAAATTAGAATATAGAGAGCTTAATGGGCATACTGGGAAAATTTGTTTTGATTTTGGAGATTTAAAAAAAATTGACAATCTAACATCCTGATAAACAGCTTGACCATTTAGTAGGGGACCTCTTTTATTGATTTTTTTGTAAGATCTTTTGTAAAATTGTGAATAGGCCTATAGTTATGTACATACTCATCCTTTAGTCTTTGGTGGATTGTTGTCTCGTCCTTTAGTCTTTGGTGGATTGTTGTCTCATTGGCAATAAATAATACTACATCTCCTTGTTTTTATATAAGTGACTTTTATCAGAGTTTGGTAATTTATAATAGTTCCCTTATGGGTACACAATTCATCAAGTATTCAAGTATTTATACATCCTTGAATTTCTAGTAATGGATTTGATTGTACCTGATGTAGTGATGATGGTTAATCCTGAAAAGCGATTAGGACGGGTCATTATTATAAAATGCTATGTAGTCTGGCAGCAATGTTGTCTTTTTTAAAACTTATAGAACATAAGATATAACAGGTATTGTATTGATGTATAACAGAGATTCAGCAACATCATCAAGGCTTGAATAGTTTTATTTTTTAATGAGATGCTGAATTTTCTGTTTTAATTTGTAAAGGACAGATGGAAGATTATTTTTGCCATGAGCTGCCTACAGGTAGAACATTTCTTTCCCTTTGTACTTAGGGAAAATAGTACAGTTTTCAAATGGAAACTAATTCGATAATGTATCTATATTTTTACAGGATGGACAAGCAAGTTATGATGTCAACAATCATGATCCAGATCCTCAACCAAGATATGATTACACCAATGAAAATAGGTAAGTGTTTCTTTATATTAACAGTCAATCCAGATATGATTACACCAATCGAAATAGGTAAGTGTTTCTTTATATTAACAGTCAGTCCAGATTTGATTACACCAATGAAAATAGGTAAGTGTTTCTTTATATTAACAGTCAGTCCAGATTTGATGACACCAATGAAAATCGGTAAGTGTTTCTTTATATTAACAGTCAGTCCAGATATGATTACACCAATGAAAATGGGTAAGTGTTTCTTTATGTTAACAGTCAATCCAGATTTGATTACACCAATGAAAATGGGTAAGTATTCCTATATCACAGACAACAAAAATAAGATTTCACCAATGAAAATGGGTAAGTGTTTCTATAAAACAGACAACCAAGATAGGATACAACAATGAAAATCAGTTAATGATTTTATACTTTTAACCAAGACGGGATCTCAGTTTTTCACCAATGAAAACTGGTAAAATTTCTATATAACAGTCAACAACAAAGATATCTTCTTGAAAACAAATAGGAAATGAGAAACACTGCAACTTCATGTTTCTATGAGCAAAATTCCAGGAGGCAAGGAAAATAATATGCTTGTCAGTTTGTTTCCAGAATTAGTACAAAGAGTTAACTAAGATTGATGATCATTAATGATCTGTCTGTTTGTACTAACAGTACTTTGATTGATGCATTCTTTACACAGTCAAGGTTCACTAAGCATTCCAACATTGAGGCAAAGTGAAACAAAGTATTAGACTTTTCCGTATTCTGTTTAGTTTCTGTGTAGTAGAAGTAACATGTTTGCCTTTACAGGAATTCAGCCAGTTATAGTACTATCAATTAGTACTGGCTGATACCAATCACCTTTGACATCCATAGTATTTGATTATATATACTACTATTAACACAGTACTTGTACTATCTAGCAGTGGTGGTTATTGTAGAGATTATCAATAAATTTATACACCGGTTTCCAAAATTTACGACTGTTTTCCTGAGTATGCATTAGATATTTGCTTCATGAAATTAAGTACTCAGTTAGTTAGAAGGTAAACACTTATTTGAACTACTATTTCCACCTACCCTGAGTCACGGCATATTGGTGTCCTAGTGTCACAGTACCTTCCAGTCTTGTATAGTGAATGGTTTATTTAGATGACAAATTGAAGAATGTCAAATTCAAACATCAGATTTTGTTGTATCAAAGTGCTTACAAAATTAACCTTCATGAGAACAGTTGAAGCTAAAAGTTTTGAAAGTCATAAAATATATTAAGTTTAATTATCAAAGCAATAGGCATCAAAAAAGAAAGCATATTTTGCAGTCTGCACCAAAATCTTTTCCAACTAACTATTCCGAAGACCAATATTCGGACATTGTCATTTTGGTCTCCAAGAATTTGACCACTTCTCCTTTCTCTCTCATGGAAGGAAAAGTTACTTCTCCCTCTTCAAAATCCTAGACTAGGCCCTGATGCTTGTGTGTTTATGTGTCTAAACTAAGTTTTGCAAATAAACCATTAGTAGTTTTTCAGCTCTATTTAGGTTTTAAGATTTAATGCCAACTATCATGCTAAATTAATTCTTGAAAGGATTTTAACGTACAGATAACAATTTGCTTAATGTTGGAATTTTGGAATTCCCATCAAAGTTTTGTAACATAGTAGTTAAATATTTATAGAGATGTATTGTTCTTAGTAGATAAATATTATCGTATCTGATCTATTGATAGAATGCTACAAATAGAAGGAAAAATTGCCTTTTTTATAATGACATGAAATAATTGTCTAGGTCTTTCTATTATTAACATCCTGTTCACCTTAAATAGAATAATTTGTACAAAAGCCCAGTTGATTCTTATTAGCTAGAAATAGTATAAACAAAAACTATAATGTGCTTACAAAGTAATGGACTGATTACCTTCGTCACACTTTTTATCAATACTATGAATACCATAAATAGAGTCACCATGTGAAAAAATTGTCAAAATTTCTTAATTGTTTACAAGTAATAATATTCAGCACAAACTATAGGTACAGGTATCTGTTGGAGGACTTTGATGATTTTAACATGAGAGATTGTATAATGATCAGTTGATTAAGTTGTTTGTCTTCACATCTTAAGATGAGTATGTAGATTATTACAAGAATTTGTTGCTATTTTAGAAGAGATTTGTCTAATGGTTATAGAACATCTGTTATAATGTCAGACAATAACATGTATTTCACCACTTGTGTATTTAAGGACTATTTTTGGAGTGAAGAATATCTGATGATTAAATGAAATGTTTTACAGTGCTTGTGTATTCAAGTCACTATTTGGGGATATGTTGTTCCTGTATTACAGCATACCAAAATGTGTTTTAACATTCTTACATCCCAAGGAACTTTAATGGTTATGTCTATCTGTTTTTATAGGGGTCAGTCTGGGTTGCTAATATGTTTGTTGTTCAACTTTTAAAAAAAGCTAATTTCCTTCAAATTTTGGCATTTACACATTTTCAGATGTTCATTGTCTTTTTTAACAACTAGACCATATTTCCTCCCCCCCCCCCCCCCCTCTATTTTACCCTCCCTCAGAAGACAGGTGATATTTAAAATGATATATAAGTGACAAACAGTATGTAATGTGGGTCCATAAATTAAAATGTTTTAGGTGAGGCGCCAGTTGAGCCATAAAACTATTTTCTTCATGAACTCCTTCTATTAGTGTAACAAATTTATCCCTCTGATTACTGTGGCCATGACATGTTGTAAACTTTCCGGGGAGTTGTCTTTCATAAAGATAACTTTGAACAAACTTTAGACATAAATTATAAGCAAGTCTTCAAAATCATTTCTCTTTTCCATCTCATGTATATCATTCCACCTTTGACTTTGGGGCTATACATGCAAAGCAGGAGACCCTTACCCTGTCTTACTCCTTTTAGAGTTCATGTGATTCCCTGTTTTTATTTTTTTTAGCTTGATTGTATCTTCTTTAATGACTTTATGGATTTATGAGGTTTAAACACCAGTGCCTCTATTTTATTCATATAATCTCTTCTTGACATACATGACAAGATAACAATCAACAATGAACTTTAACATTATCCCATAATAGTTAGACATAATGAGTATTTGACATGATATGTATGGCTCTTATACCATCAGTATAATACTACCCAATAAGAGGTTGCCCTCATCCAATAAAATAGAGATTTTTGTCAGAAGTGGGATGAAACTCAATGCCATTTGTCAAGCTTTTATTATCTGCCAAGTTTCTATGCAGTGTGTCAAGCTCCTACTTTTCTGACAAGTGTTTTAACCATGGACAAGCTCTAGATTGTCCAAAATGTGTCTAGTCCATATGTCAAGCTCTATATAATCTGACAAGTGTCTGTACCATGTGTCAAGCAGCTGTATTGCCTGACAAGACTTAGTGTCTAAATATTGTGTCAAGCTCTATATAGTCTAACAAGTGTCTTTACCACATGTCAAGCCCTGCATAGCCTTGCAAGTGTCCATACTATGTGTCAACCTCTATATTGTCTGACAAGTGTAAATCCCATGTGTCAACCTCTATATTGTCTGACAAGTGCCAATCCCATGTGTCAACCTCTATATTGTCTGACAAGTGTATGTCCCATGTCTCAACCTCTATATTGTCTGACAAGTGTCAATCCCATGTGTCAACCTCTATATTGTCTGACCAGTGTCTATACCATGTTTCAAGCTTTGTACAGTTTGACAACTGTCTATAACATATGTCAAGATCTTAATTGTCTAGTTTTTGTCTTGCCTGGACAAGGTCTGACTGCAGGGGCAAAGACTTGGGCAAGCTGTTTCTGGTGGCTGTGGATGCTTCATCAAATGATTAAAGTCTGTGATTAGGTCAGTTTAAAGGGGAACCATTTATGTTGTTGGCTTGTGATAATTGTTGTATACCCCAAATTTCCTCTTGTTCATCTTGTGGCAATATACTCACCTCAAGTGCCGAAGGTCAGGGGTTCGCATCCGGCCAGTGCACACTCAGAGACTTGAAAATATAGGAGTAAGAGCAAAGACTTTTTGGCTCAAAGTCATCAAACAGCTCCAACATAACTAAAGCAAGCTGCAGTCATGCTCTCTTTCTATATACTGTAATGCCTCTCATTACTTACTTGTTCCATTTGTTTATAAACCTCCTATAAAGTACATACATCTGCACCTGAGCTCTGTCCTTTGTCCTCTATTTATTTTTACCTTCACATGACATCTAAATTATACAAAAATGAGATTAATTTCAGTTAAAATGAAGAAATATATATTGCTTTTCTAATATTGATAATAAATTAGTATTTGTATTTTTCCTCTCTTGTTTTTTCTACAATAGAATTATGAAATTATAACTTTGACACAGACAAGTTACAAATATTAAGTAACCAGATGTACACAAGACAGATGTGTTTACTTAGATTGGTGTTGTTTGCTGTAAGAGCTTTGTTCATTGGTGGGATGGGGGCATTTTCTGACATGTAAATTTCATACCAATTAATGTTCCTTTTTATAAGGCTCTTCACTTTTCTTTTCTGGGAGGTCTTTTCCATTGTATTCAATCTAAGTAGACCTCCAGGCTTGCAATGAAAATTAGTTAATTTCTAATTTGAAGCTTTTTTTAATTTAATACTGTGGTTTATTTTTGACATTATAATAATGAATACATATCTCCTGTGAATTAAAATGTAAAAAGAAAAGGTTTTCTAGGTGGTATTTTAAATACATCAAAATAGAGGGTATTTTTTCATGAAATAAATTACTGTAATTACATACCCATGCAGGTAACAAGAGTACAAAGTGCCTAATTATACTTCCCAAATTACACACAATTTTATTGTCATCCAAATTGATGTCTTAATAGTTGAGAGAGATATATTTTCTCCCTTAGATAAGGATTAGGTGTCAAAAATGCAAAAGAATATGATATCTGTAAGATCCATTTATTATTTATCTATATAATCTTCATTCCAGATGGAATTTCTCAGGATTTATCTCAATCATTAAAAAAGTCATGGCAAATAAGAAGTCCGAACTATTCTCAGGTGTATTTCGTACTGTATTTATCAAGTGTCAGATTTACTGAATGAAATAAACACTGTAAAGTACAAGATTGTGGTTGCTCGTTAGACAGATGATTTGTATCTTAGTGAGTACCTTGAACTCAGACACCTTGTTTGGGATAATTGATAGTCTTGGTGACATTCTTAATTCACCTTTTCGTACCTGAGCAGGTGAGAGAAAAACATCAGCATGAGAAATGTTATATAGTGTTTTAGGACAGCCAAACATGCAGTTGCATTATATATAGATTAATCATTGTTTGTTTGTTCCTATATTGGTATTTTGCAGTTTGGTTATATTTTGCATAGAGGTTTATTTACTGAGAAACACATGGTAATATTGCATTGATGATAACAACAAAAACCTTCATTGCTGTTCATCTTGTAAACACAAATACCTTTGTTGGTGTTCATCTAGTAAACACAAATACCTTCATTGCTGTTCATCTTGTAAACACAATTACCTTTGTTGGTGTTCATCTAGTAAACACAAATATCTTCATTGGCATTCAGTTAGTAGACACAAAAACCTGAATTGGTGTTCATCTTGTAAATTCAAATACCTTTGTTGGTGTTCATCTTGTAAACACAAATACCTTTGTAAGTGTTCATATAGTAAACACAAATACCTTCATTGGCATTCATCTAGTAAACACAAAAACATTTGTTGTTGTTCATTTTGTAAACACAAATACTTTCATTAGTGTTCATCTAGTAAACACAAATACATTTGTTGGTGTTCATCTAGTAAACACAAATACCTTCATTGCTGTTCATCTTGTAAACACAATTACCTTTGTTGGTGTTCATCTAGTAAACACAAATACCTTCATTGCTGTTCATCTAGTAAACACAAATACCTTCATTGCTGTTCATCTTGTAAACACAATTACCTTTGTTGGTGTTCATCTAGTAAACACAAATACCTTCATTGCTGTTCATCTAGTAAACACAAATACCTTCATTGCTGTTCATCTTGTAAACACAAATACCTTTGTTGGTGTTCATCTAGTAAACACAAATACCTTCATTGCTGTTCATCTTGTAAACACAATTACCTTTGTTGGTGTTCATCTAGTAAACACAAATATCTTCATTGGCATTCAGTTAGTAGACACAAAAACCTGAATTGGTGTTCATCTTGTAAATTCAAATACCTTTGTTGGTGTTCATCTTGTAAACACAAATACCTTTGTAAGTGTTCATATAGTAAACACAAATACCTTCATTGGCATTCATCTAGTAAACACAAATACATTTGTTGGTGTTCATGTAGTAAACACAAATACCTTTATTGGTTTTCATTTAGTAAACACAAATATCTTCATTGGCATTCATCTAGTAAACACAAAAACCTGAATTGGTGTTCATCTTGTAAATTCAAATACCTTTGTTGGTGTTCATCTAGTAAATACAAATACCTTCATTGCTGTTTATCTTGTAAACACAAATACCTTCTTAAGTGTTCATATTGTAAACACAAATACCTTCATTGGCATTCATCTAGTAAACACAAATACATTTGTTGGTGTTCATTTTGTATAAACACAAATACTTTCATTAGTGTTCATCTAGTAAACACAAATGCATTTGTAGGTGTTCATCTAGTAAACATAAATACCTTCATTGGTCTTTTAGTAAACACAAGTACCTTCATTGGTTTTCATCTATTAAACACAAATACCTTCATTGGTGTTCATCTAGTAAACAGAAATACCTTTGTTGGTGTTCATCTTGTAAACAGAAATACCTTTGTTGGTGTTCATCTAGTTAAGACAAATATATGTGTTGGTGTTCATCTAGTAAATATAAATACCTTGAATGGTGTTTGTATGGTAAACACAAATGTTTTGTTCGTGTTCATCTAGTAATCACAGTATAGATTGTATGTTCATTAGTAACTGTAGAACCATAGTTGATCCCAGAATTAAAAGCATATTCCCATGCATAGGAAGATAAGAACAGAAGAACCATAAGGGTAGTTAATCCACAGCTAGTTCTTATATTTTCTTGAGTTATGTGTATAAAAATTAAACATAATGATTGAGCTACTTTTAGCCAGTATTTTGTTTTTTTCTGTTTACAGTTTATGAAAATCCCTGCTTGCAACAAACAGTTTTTGATCAAATAATAACATATTAGCTTGTAAAATCTTATACTGTTTACTTGTTGTCTTCAAATGATTACCTTACGTACTTGTTTTTGTTTTTGGACACAATTAGAATAGGAATGATGACACTTCAGGAGGATATTTTTTGTCTTTTCAGACATGGTACCAGGTGTGCTGGTGAGGTGGCCGCACAAGCTGATAACCATATGTGTAGTGTTGGAGTAGCATATAATGCCAAAATTGGAGGTAGGTACTAGGTGGCAGCACAAGCTGATAACCATATGTGTAGTGTTGGAGTAGCATATAATGCCAAAATTGGAGGTAGGTACTAGGTGGCAGCACAAGCTGATAACCATATGTGTAGTTTTGGAGTTGCATATAATGCCAAAATTGGAGGTAGACATGTACCAGTTGCAGCCCAAGCTAAGTACCATAGGTATAATGTTGGTGTATCAATCAGGGCCAACTACATGGCTAATTTTATTTGTAAACTTATTTACTTTGAAACTGTCAGTGTTTTGTAGATATTTTAGGTAAGATGAAATTATTTTTTTCAAAGAGTGCTTTAAATATTCTGCATTAAAGTATATTTTAATAAAAAGCGAATTTCGATTTTTATAATTTTGCGGTCGTATATTGGTATCACGTCGTCAACGTCAGCGTCGTCTGAAGACATTTAGTTTCCGGGCAATAACTTTAGTAAATGTAAACAGAAATCTTTGAAATTTAAACACAAGGTTTATAACCACAAAAGGAAGGTTGGGATTGATTTTGGGGGTAATAGTCCTAACAGTTTAGGAATTAGGAGCCAAAAAGGGCCCAAATAACCATTTTTCTAGTTTCCAGACAATAACTTGTGGAACTGTGTATGGATCTCTCTGAAATTATACCACAAGTTTCCGTACCACAAAGGGATGGTTAGGATTGACTTTGGGGGTTATGGCTCAAACCGTTTAGGAATTAGGGGCAAAAAAGGGGGATAAACAAGGGTTTCCTGGTTAATGGACAATTACTTTTAAGTACAATGTTTTATGTCTGGATTACCTCCCTTACACTGCTTTTAAATTATGTATAAAGAAATGTAGTATTTTCTTGAGGTGATTAGCTGTCAATTTATTTTTAAAAGTTACTATTTAAAAATGCTGATTAAGGAATATTAATTTTAGCCATGATTATGTAAGTCATTTTCTATTTTAAGACTTTTATGATGTATTCAAATTGGTAATTATAGTTGCAAACTCCAATGAAAATTTGAATTGAGATTATGACCATCTCTTGAGGGAAAGAATTTTTTTTTTTTGGAAAAAGGGGGGGGGGATAAACAAGGGTTTCCTGGTTAATGGACAATTACTTTTAAGTACAATGTTTTATGTCTGGATTACCTCCCTTACACTGCTTTTAAATTATGTATAAAGAAATGTAGTATTTTCTTGAGGTGATTAGCTGTCAATTTATTTTTAAAAGTTACTATTTAAAAATGCTGATTAAGGAATATTAATTTTAGCCATGATTATGTAAGTCTTTTTCTATTTTAAGACTTTTATGATGTATTCAAATTGGTAATTATAGTTGCAAACTCCAATGAAAATTTGAATTGAGATTATGACCATATCTTGAAGGACAGAATTTTTTTTTTTTTGGAAAAAGGGGGGGGGGGGGGGGGGTGTAAAAAAGAAATTGTGAGGGGGGGGGGGGGCAATTTTTTCTCTTTTTTTTTTAGGGGGGAAGGGGGGTGTCAATTCGCAACAGCATAGTGTATTGCACAAAAGCAAAAAATTGAATATAAATACAAATCATATAACCAATTCTAAGTTCTTTGACTACAGTTATTCTGTGTCAGAAACCTATTATGTGTTAATTACAATCCAAATTCAGACCTGTATCAAGCGCGTATATTGTGTCCATTTTTGCCCCAACTGTTCAGGGTTGGACATCCGCTGCGCTCGCCGAAGCAATTTATTTTATAGTGAAAAAGTAAATGATTATTTTAATGGTCCAGTAATTTGTTATTACATGACAGTTGCAGGAAATTATAAAGTTTACCAAATCCCCCAAAAAACCAGTTTCATACAGTTGCAGTCAATTAATTTTAAGGATAGATAAAGTCCTGTATTCATGCACAAGTAATACATATAAAGATAAGAAGATGTGGTATAATTCCAAAGATGTGGGTATATATTATTGAGACTGCAATTTAGAAACATGATGAAACTGAAAAGACGGCTTTACTTTCTCTTTATATTATGAAGTAGTTTGGATTTCAGGTAAGGGTGTTGTAGATTCTGTAGATACTCTTGGACTTACCTCCCTGTTTAAATATGTGGAAGTTAAGGTGTTAGGTTGAAATTTCAGATTCAGTAGAGGCATAGTCTCTGATGAATTTAAAAAGCTTAGGGATCTGTTCCTATGTTTAATTTTACTCGTTATATTTTATAGGAGTGAGGATGTTAGATGGGGATGTGACAGATTCAGTGGAAGCCACATCTCTGAGTCTTAACCAACAACACATCCAGGTCTACAGTGCAAGCTGGGGTCCAGATGATGATGGAAGGACTGTTGATGGGCCAGCCACACTTGCCAGAAAAGCGTTTTTTGATGGTATTACAAAGGTATAACTCAAACCTACTCAGTGATATGTACCAATTCAAACATGAAAGGCCAAATTAAAACGCAAATTATTCTGAAAAAATTTTCTTTTTTTAAATTGCTAACATAACTAGCAACCTGTATGAAAATGTCTTCAAACAAAGGCTTAAAAAATAATAGAAAGACAGTTATAAATGTGTAATGTTTATAAATATAAAGCAGTTTTAAGCCATTACATTATTGTTTTGAAAATGTTATTTGTAGACAATGTTTAAATGGATTTTCTCAGTAATAAAGGCCAGTCTTATAAGAACACATTTCTATTGGTGGTACAGATATATTTCTAATTTAGAGATAAGGAGGATTAGGCTCTGTTTCGATACACTTTGACAGTAGGTATTGGAGGCCAAGATGGTGACAGATTCTGTTGCAGGGACAAAGAGGTTTAGCTTCCATGTATTGCCTCTAGAGACAGAGTTAGAGATATTGATAGCTGTGACAATAAGAGTTTATTTTAGGGACAAGGATGTTTAGATGCTATTAGTTCTGCTACATTATAGCTGTTGGTAACAGCTTTAATTGTGACAGGTGCATTTCCAGGGATGAGGAGGTTTAACCTGTATGTTTGGAGTGTTGGTTAAAGTATGTTAGATTGTGACAAGTACACTTCTTTTTCAGGGAAGAGGAGGTTTAGGCTCCATATATGTTTGGGCCTCTGGAAATGGAGGTCGAGACGGGGACAGCTGTAATTGTGATGGGTATACAAACAGTATTTACACCCTGTCAATCAGTAGTGCGACAGAGTATGGAAACATTCCATGGTATTCAGAGGCATGCTCTTCCACATTAGCAACGACATATAGCAGTGGTTCAGGAGGAGAGAAACAAATAGTAGGTTTTTTAAAACAATGTCCAAAATCATTCAAAAAAAATTTATGAAGAAAAAAATAATAGAATCTAGACTCTCTTTGGAATCATTGTTTCAATATTAACTATGATTTAGAGGCCTTTTTAAAACTCCTGACACTACCATTGTTTAGGTCATTAATACTTAAAATTGACTTCAAATTAGGGAGGAGCATATTATAGTGTCAATTCTTTTAAGTAATTATGGCAGCAGTTGAGAATGTGAAAACTAAAAGTTTAGACGTGGAATAAAAACAATATATATGCATATAGATATCGATATGTTGACCTTAAAGGGTTAAAATACACAATTTTTAATTCTTGAAGATATTTCAATGGCACCTTTTGCTTTACTTGTTTATGGAAACAGTTAATATCTGATTGTATAAATTTTATTTCAGTGTGACCAAATAATATAAAAAAAGGACCCAAAAAATAAAATAAATAATAAATTTTAGTATTGAATTTACAAATAAAATGTTATTCCCTAGAAAGAAATTATGCAAATTTCAAGTTCTAATTATAATTTGATATATTTTATAGACAAAAAGGTTTATTGGTCATAAAAATGTCTTTGATGTTTTTATATCTTCCATTTGAATGCAAGCACTTTATAACTTTGTACTTGAGTGATATTTTAATCTGTGTATTGAAAATTCGGATACTATTCTGTTGAATGACAGTAAAATAAAAGTAAAAATCATAGATACAATTATGAACGAAGTGATCTATTTATAAAATTGATTTCCCTATAGGAAGCTAATGGCTGTGCAATAATTATCGACATTTATAATATAAAAAGGTTATTGATCAGTATTGTAGGGAAAAATTCATGAGAACAATATGAGTGTACCCTGGTGACTAGGATTTTAATGATTTCATATACAGATAAAAAATTTAACTAATGACCCATTTATTCTATTTACTTATTTAAGGAGTAATACCTCCATTGTTTTTCCCCTATTAGTCTTTGTTAAATTGAGACTTTTCAAAAAATTGTGCAGAATTTATCTTTGTTTCAAATAAAGAAATACTTGAAAGTTTTATCCTGTCCAGTACTACAGACAAAATTTCACATAATATTTCATTGCATATAAGATAGTAACCATCACTGGAAGTTAACCAATCAAATTTTCATCCCTTTTTTCATGTTTACAAGCTTTAGTAACTATTTAACCTCAAGCTTCCAAAATATTTTATATAAACACCAAAAAAAATAAAGAATGGTGCTTTAAAACACCCAAGATATATGTTTATGACTCAGAATTTTTTTTCTGCAATAAAATGCAAGGTTAATTTCCTACAACTGCCAACTTCAAGGGAATATTTTTTCAACCCTTTTTTGTATGAAACGTATGTGACGTACCATGTTTTGGTGGTATTACACCTTAATTATAATTTTTTGTATCATGTAACTATCAGATGAATTCAGCTGTTTAAATGAAATATGGAAGTAGGAAAAAACCAAACATTGTGTAACTTTGACCTTAAGCTGTGGCTTCAGTAACTTTCACTAAGTTTTATGGCTAGTTTTAGTTCTTGGATTCTATGTGAACTGCTAGTATTATAATAAAATAAAATATGGCAGTAAAATGATATTCTTGCTGATAAAGTCAGTATCAAAAACAAAAATGCCATTATTCTATATGTATAACATAATTGTAAGCTGAATATTAAGGATGTTAGCTACTATGTTTCAAAATAAAAAGCTTTTTAAAAGACTTATAAATTGACAGTACATATATATATAAAACAGAACTAAAAAATCAGAAAAAAAAATGCAGTTCCATGCATACTTGCCAACCTCTGACAATGAGAAATCATGTCATGACATGACATGACATGTCAAAAAGCGTGTGAAAACGCGCGACAAAGATGCGGACTTTTTTATATGAACAATGTTCATAATTTCACATTATCATGATTATACAAATTTGTTTATTCAATGTATATAATAAAAACAATATTCTAGAGTAAACTTTTATTGTATTCAACAGTGGTCTGTTTTGCTGCTTTTAAAGCAACACCCTAGGCTTAGGCACATATTCAAAACAACTGCCAGTTTGATTACATTTACTTGATAACAAGGCACACAATATATCATTGTCGAGTTCTGATCAGAATTCAGTGTAGATTTCTTTATAATTGAAAATATTCTCTCACAGTCAGAATTGATATTTGGCTAAACTTAAATAGCTTGATCAAGCTTTGAAAGAGTGTCATAACGTTTTTTGCCATCTAAAATGTCATCTGTTATCTTTGCCATTGCTCCCAACGAACTATATATGTTGCTATTGTCTCTGAGGCTATTGTCTGGTCAAAACTGGGTAGTTCATCTGGTACTATGAGAACTGATCCAACAGTTCCGTGATATTTCCATCCCCTTTGGCCTTTGGGAATCTGTTTGGCTAGATTTGAAACTGAAAAAGAAAAGTATTTTATTATTTGATTACCATTTAAGCACGTTAAATGCTTAATCAATTCGCTACATTGTAGTTCTCCTCTCACATGTATTGTTAAGATTGCAACATAGGGTGCACAATGCGTTACTCGTCTCTCGATAATTTAAACTTGAACTCCCAAATATAATTTGTAAATCTTGAAATTCATCTTCTTCTGCTTCTGCTTCTGCCTGATTATGGCCACAATCAACGAACTAATTATTATGCCATGACTTAGGTGCGCATACAGACCCCCTCCCCCCACCCCCCAATTTGATAATTTAGTTCAGCTTTGTCAGAGAGGCTTTAAAGGCCTCGACTGACGATGCTGATGCTACCCCAGGAGGGAGAGCGTTCCAATCCCTGATCGTTCTCGGGAAAAATGAGTATTTCCTGTAATCACTTCTAGATGCTGGAATTTGGAAACTTTTGTCGTGCATGTTCCTCGACAGTCGTGTTGGTTGCATAAGACGACCTTCCTTAGTTACAGCCACTTTGTTGTCTTCTTGGTACGTACACATCGTTTTCGCTTAGCAATCGGCTCTTTAGACGACGGTACAGGTCCTGAAAGCGAACTGTTTCTGTCGACATTTCCCCTAAGTGAATTTGAAAGAAAGAAAGTCACAAAATCGTAAAAACTAATCACAAACTACTTACCTTAAGGGCTTTTGCTGTTCGTCCATATAGAAAAATAAACAATGGCGACGATACAATTACTTCGAAATTTCGGTATTTTTTATCTAATAATGAAAAAACCTGAGAATCGCGATATCACCAACGACCAAAAAATCAAAACAACGAAAATGCGTGTAATTGCGTGTAAAGTGGCGAAACGCGTGTACATGCCATGTGACAAAATCCTCGCGTGTAAACCGTTGAAAAAGCGTGTATTACACACGATTATCATGTGAGTTGGCAACTATGGTTCCATGTCCTTATTTTTGAGATATAAGTCATTGAACATTTGGCGGTAAATGATTCTCTCTAGATTTTTCATTCAATTTACATTGGCACCTGTTTTCGTTTAAAAACTAGGAAAAAATAACAAGGATTTTAATAGATTTCCAAAAATGGCTTTTAAAACTATATGTAATAAAATTATCAAAAGAAAAGTAGGGGTTAGCAGGGAAAAATTTTTAATGGCACCACTTGGATAAAACCAGAGGATTCCCAATATCTGACAAATAGACTAGTGGAAATCCTTCAGAAATAAATTTGGTTGTAAATTTAGTCAATACACGCATGAATTATGTGATGCTGATTTTCTGTTGATGTGATGAAGATCCATCTCTACACCAAATTTTAAATAAAGGCCACTTGGTGTCTTAGAACTTAACTTTAATGTTATACTTAATTAGTCTTACAAAAGAATAAATGTAGGTCAGAAGGACCTACTTTTGATGGGAAGTTGTTATGCTTTCCTTTATACATCCTTACAATAAGTTATAACAGTAATTTACTTTGTATCTATGACCTAAACTTAGCCATTAAACTTAATAAAATTTATTGAGGCAACATCTATAGGTCAGAGTTATGAAATAATAAACATGTGATGGTGAAATATGGGTCAAGTTACCTTCATTTGATATCACATGATTACTCTCTTCCAAATACACCTGTACACAAAACTTTATGGTTTAGTGGGGACATTTTCTTGTCCATCACCAAACCATATATATTTGCCATGGCTAGACCTTTCAAGTTAACTTTAGGGTTTGTTGCAACTTATTTCATATATTGCTAAACATTTCCAAAATCGTTCATATTGCCACACCTAAAACACCTAATAATTTCACAACTTCCAAACACTAAAATTGCATTCAACATCCTTGAAAAGAATGTGTTGATGCCCAAAGATTATCAATTACTGAAGCCAGTTAATGTAGTATTTCTGGTATATATACATGTTTAACATGGAAGGTAGTTGATCTAGTATTTCTGTTTAAATGTTTAACTTCTTCAGAAGATAGACTTGATAACCATCAGCTTGTTAGATGTTCATTGAATTTTGATGGAATCTTTCTTAGTAATAAGTGGTATTAGATTGTAAATAGCCTGCAATCTGGTAAATCTGTTTTGAAAATGTAATGAATTCTATTGAAATGGATGTCCCTATGGCTTCTTGTCATGATTATATTACAGACCTATTGATATATTACTGGTCAGAGTTTGTCATTGAAGGACTACCATTGATTGATTATCACCCTATTACAAAACCAATTATACCAGAGACTGGTACCAGACTGGTACTAGAGTGGTCATCAAAAATTGACTGGACCATTATTCGTTCTCTCTCCCTTGTTGTTTTTCTTGTCTACTAAATTAGATTTGTAGAATACTGTGGTAGGTTATTGATCTCAAAGAACATTATGGGTATAATTTGCATGTAGATTAGTCTTCAATTGGTACAAAGCAGAAATGTATATAACTTATTGTAAGAACTAATGGATGAATAGGAACAATATTTACATATAACAATATACAATAATGAATAAGGAAATAGTTTAAGTGCTTTGTACTTTGGTTAAATTGATGATGACTTCAGCTGTATCTGACACTCTACATGAACACAACAGTCTTACAGCATACTAATAATTCAGGAAAACAGTTAATAATATGAAGGTCTGGTACAGATATTTTTCAATTCATTTTCTGGTCATTTTCAAATGTGACAGGACAAATTACAAGTTATAAATGGTAAATGTTGGATTTTCATCAAATTTCATTCATCATGTCTGACTTTGTTGTTTTAAGACAATGAGTGTTAACAACATCATAGGAACAAACAACTTCCATACCTTATACATATTCTCTTATAAACTGGTTAATTCTATAGGACTTATTAACCTGCTGATATCAAAAAACTTAACTGAAAGTATGTTACCTGAATTTCAGCTCTTCATCTTGAGCGTTTTCTATTTTAAGATTAATCAGTTCTTCAAATGACCCCTTTAACCTCATGAGTAAATATTAGCTACATACACCAGACTCCTGTATACCGATACTTGTAATGACCAGCATTAAGAATTGGTTAGTTTTTTATTGTTTATAATAGTATTTGTATATGATACCATGATGCTGGTAATTCATTTTTTGTTTGTTAATCACTATTTCCATCATTCAATAACTGTTTGCTGTGGAAAGGGGGTTGGGGGGCTGTTATCCATATTTCCCGCAAAATTAAATGTTTAACCGTGCCACATTCTGTATGTATATGCCTGTCCCAAGTCAGGAGCCTGTAATTCAGTGGTTTTCGTGTGTTACATATTTGTTTTTCATTCATTTTCTGTACATAAATTAGGCCATTAGTTTTCTTGTTTGAATTGTTTTACATTGTCATTTTGGGGCCTTTTATAGCTGACTGTGCGGTATGGGCTTTGCTCATTGTTGAAGGCCGTACGGTGACCTATAGTTGTTAATTTCTGTGTCATTTGGTCTCTTGTGGAGAGTTGTCTCATTGGCAATCATACCACATCTTTTTATATGAATCCTTTTAAGTGTAAATCCTGAATTCCCGCAATAATAAAAGCCAAATCCTGACGCCCTGAAAAAGGTACTCCCACCCCTCTTACTTATACATGAAGTTTTGTATGTTTTGCCACTTTCTATCCCAATCCCCTTGTAAAAAGATTGAGGAAACATTTTTATCATTGAAACATTAAAAGAAAGTTTTAATTCAATTAAAGAGAAAATGCTACCTAACTTGATTTTGTTTTGAAAGAAAGTATAATATAGTAGAAAATGATAATTTTTTAAGTCACAGGTTTCTGTGAAAATCTGTCATGCTAATCTAAATGATACTGTGACAGTCACCACACAGACGTTATTATCACATTAAATCTTCATTATAACATTGTCTGTTCATCCTGAAGGAATCTTTAATTGAATGAATAATTTGTGTGTTTAAACATGGACAATTTCTAAATCTGTTAAAACCACTTGCATGATTGGACAGATTTTCTGCTAAATTTGATGTATGACTTTACTTGAATTATCTTGTGAAGCAGTCATAGGTGTTTCACCAAGACAACATTTTTAGTAATACTTTGTTATTGAATCGATGTGTAGATTTTTCCCTAGTTGTACAGTTGTCTGAATGAACATGGAGAGGACCAAATTTATCATTGTAGTGATAGATATTTGTTTATGAAATTAAAAGAACACATTTTAGGGAGTCAATTAAGACGTCATATGCAGTATATTTCTGAAATTAATAAGATGTGGATAAATTGATTCTAATGAAATGAATTTTTGTATTGATTTACTATCTGCAGCCAGCAGTGAAGGATTTTGTTTATGATATCAACTGACACAATTTTTTCTTTTAGAATTTCTTTAGATAACTAAGAATAAATATTATCTTTTATTGATTAACCCAGTTATAATATTCAGATAAGTTATAACAGTACAAAGGGAAGTAATCCATGTAAAAATAAACAGGACTTTTAGGAGGAATAGTGGTACCATTACCCATTAATATAGTTGACTTAACATGTACTGTCTTTTTTAAACTGATGTTTTACACTTAAGAAATACCTAAAACTGTATTATTAAGAAAGAATGTGATTAGGGCTTTATTTTCTGTATAATTGATTCTGATTCTGAGACCTTTTTGATTGAAAATTTCAGGCTAAATGGCACAACTTTTACACTTATTATTTAGATTGGAAGAGAAAATGACATGTTAAGTCTAAACTAATTTCTCTCCTTAAGTGACATACATCCACTATCAAACATGTTGTCAAAAAGGAAGAAGTCGACAAGAAGAATAGATTTTTAAGCCCCCGCCGTAGTGGAGGGGGCATTAAGGTTTACCCTTGACCGTCAGTACGTCCTATTCTCTATTTTTAGTTTCCCTTGACCAAATATTATGAAACTTATACACAAAGCTTATTACCACAAAACACAGATCTAGTTCGAATTTGGGTGGCGTTGCTTTTACCATTTCTGACCTATGCCCCTTTATAAATGGACAAATTGCTGAATATTTCGTTTCTGTTCTCTCACTTTTGTTTGCCTCAACCAAATGTTATGAAACTTATACGCAATGCTTATTAGCATAAAACACAGATCAAGTTTGAATTTGGGTGGCGTCACTCTTACAGTTCTCTAGTTATGTCCCTTTATAACGTTTTATGCAAGCGGGGGAATCGTCTGTGTCCATGGACACATTCTCCCTTAATTTTTTTTAATTTTTCCATTTTTATAACCTAAAGAAAAAGGGGGTTTTTAATAACAGGGCCTCTTTTCAAGAAACTATATGATTAGCCATTTCATTTATATTTAAGAAATTTTAAATTTGCTATACATAATGCCAATCTCTTCTTTTCCAAAGGTCACTACTGACTTGAGAAAGACTTGCACAGAAACTCACACAGGAACATCAGCAAGTGCCCCATTAGCTGCTGGACTCGTAGCACTTGCCTTGGAAGCCAAGTAAGTAATCAAGATATTGGGAGAATGGTAGAACTTCATAACAATACATACACACTAACAATTAAATTGCTGAATAAGAATGTACAGGTCAGCATGGAAAATAGTGAAATGCTACCTCTGCATTTCAGCTTTCTGAAATGTCTGCAAAGACATTGAAGATGTGTACCTCATTTTAAAACGTCATATAGATATGGAGGATTTTTGCCAATTTTACAGACTGTGAAATATCCAACTTTAAGGAACATATTGATTAACAGTAACCAGTTGTGTAAACTTCTACAGTTTTATGTGAAGGAAATGAATCCTTTCCAGACAATCAGTTGGCGTTGGTCAGGGTATTTAAATTTTTATATAAGGTTAGCTGTCCTATTGAATAAATACACTAGCTATTGTTCTCTGCGGAGTTCATTCAATGGGAAGTTTAAATTTCTCCTAGTGATTGGAAACTGTAGTATTCCCTAATGTTGCTCATTTGTATAAATCAGTAGATATTGATGTTTCTTCTTAGCATTCAAATACTATAATCATGCATATTTACATTGGTTGTCATTTTCAAGATTTCAATGCATAAACTTTTTGTACAGGGGTTAAATTTGTGCATCGAACCATAAGTTCACCCTTCACACCAACACTGTTGCATTGTACAAACTTTTCATGCAAGGGGTATTTTCATGCATTTTATGAGAGATCACGAAAAAAGCAAAAAAAAAATTTCCTGGTTTATAGAAGATTCTCCCTGAACACTAGTGTCTACCATTTACATGGTATTTCAAATTACAAACAAGTAAATGCAACCCTGTCATTTGTGTATTTAATCAATTGTTTTTATTATTTTCAGTCCTGGATTAACATGGAGAGACATGCAACATATTGTAGTACACACTGCCAAAAAAGCCAACTTGAAAGCTGATGACTGGATTGTTAATGGCGTTAACAGAAGTGGTATGTATATAAGAGAGAGAAAGAGAGATTAAAACAAATCGAAAAATAACACAAAAGTTATTATGTGGAAGTTTATCTTATATTAAGTTTACATTAGATATTCAATCACAATAGAGAATAACATATGTTAGAATTATTTCTCTTCAGATGCCATTTGGGAAAATGAGTTTGTTAAATAACTTTTTTTTATCTGTTTTAATGCAGTTTTCACACTGCTATTCATTTAGATAATCATATTTTATCTCTAAACAATCTTGTGAAGATCAATTTGTAGTAGATAGTATTTTCAATGATATTGATAGAACAATTATTGTTACATAATGTGAATCTGTTTATTTCAGTAAGTCATTCCTTTGGTTATGGTCTTATGGATGCAGGTGGTATGGTCAGACTAGCCAGAAACTGGACAAAGGTGCCTCCACAGCACATATGTGAAATCAGATCAAGAGATGTCGATAAGTAATTACAGTTTTACAGCGATTCTTTAAAATATCTGCTAAAAATTTAGAGTGTAATAATAATTTTCTTTGACTACCAGTATATCTATGTAAAAAAAAATCACTTACCATTATTGGTTCATGCCAAAAATGACCATGGTTTACTAGGAAGCAAAATAATTAAAGAAGAATACACCGAAAAATGGAGTTCATGTACAAGTATCAAACACAGCAAACAAATATACTGCTGTTAAAACTTTTCTGTATTAACCTTTGTAAGGAACACTTACAGCTAGATAATTGGTAAACATAGATTTGATGACTTTAAAATCAAAAGTAGGATTAAAAAGAAAATTTTATGTATTATTGTTTTGTTACACAAAAAGAAATTAAGCATTTGTTGTACACAATTCATTCAGCTACTCTCATTCCTGAAAGAATTCACAAACAATTCAAATATAAATGCCCTTACTTCTGTAAATATAAGTAAAATGATATTTATTTTTAGACCTATTCCAATGAATGGAAAAATAACAGTATATCTAGACACAGATGGTTGTGAAGGGGTGTTGGACCATGTGAAATATTTAGAACATGTCCAGGCCAGGATTACATTAACTGCCTCTCGGAGAGGAGAAATACAGATCTTCCTGATCTCTCCGATGGGAACCAGATCTACACTGTTGGCCAGGCGTGCTCATGATAACTCCAGAGAAGGTTTTAACAACTGGGCTTTCATGACTACACATAGCTGGGGAGAAACGGCTAAGGGAACATGGATACTTGAGATAGAAAATGGAGCTAGTTCTTGTAAGTATTTTTGAATCTTATTATTTTATTTTTTATTAGATAGTAGAAACACTATACACGCTTATGGTTTAAATTGAAGAGTATTTTTTAAAAGAATTTTATTATTCTTATGATGAATAAATGCAAGTGTTATAGGACCTAACTCCTAGAAATAAGATTTGCATGCACAAATGGTTTTCTGTACATTTATGTTTTTTTGCTCTAGTTGATATCCACTATTTTTGCAATATCTTATTTTGACGCAATAATTGTCACTTTAGTGATATTTAGAATTTTATCTTTTCTTAATATCAAACAAACGTATAAATTATTTGTCAGACCTTCACACAAGATATATAATGCTCTTGAATTTACAATTTTCTTGGTCTTTATAAAAATACATTTGTTTCATGAATTGATTTAATTTCAATTGTTAATTCTGGTTAAGTTAATGTGCAGAGTTGGCTAAACTAAACTTACTTTCTTCATCTTTAAAGAGAATTACATTGTACAAAACAAAACTGAATAACTTAACATATTTGGTGGGTCAATGTTTTATGTATGGTTCACAGAAGATAGATATTTGGAAGCTTAGTGTATGCAGTTGTAGAATTTGAAAAGCATGGTCGTGTATATTTTTTGTAGGAAATAAATAGATTTTTCTCTGATTTGTATGCTTATTTATTCTAAAGTCAAAGTATAACTCATACTTATGACATTGTTCATATATCATTTTTATCCAGCAAAAGATTTATCTTATGTATATATAACCACATTAAATTTGTCCGAGTTTTCTTGAGACTAAGAAAAAGAATTTTTTGTTAAAAGTAAAGCACTGTAAAACAGTCTTGAGAAACTATTGGTTTTAAAAATAATGCCAAAGGGATATTTACAGTTTCTAGTTTGATACCTTTTAAGCCAATAGTTGATTATGTTTATTTAAGCTTTGATTTATTTAGCTGGCCATATTTGCATGGGAAGCTTAATGTTGAGTTTTGGTTTAGAAGTTTTTATTATGTATGTTTACCCACATTAGAAAAGCTGCTACAGATTTAAAACATGCTGCGCTAGTGCTTTATAATAGACAGATCATTTCTTTTGTGGTTTATAGTGTTTTTTTTATCCTTTTTTCAAATTAGTTGTATCAGAATTTATGTTGAGAAATTTTCAAGTGAAATAAGGCCAACCAAGAAATTTTCATAATACTTGTTTAATATTTTTTATTATGTAAATCATAATTTGAATAGGAGCATGTTACCTGTGGGCCTGCATTGTATTCCAAAAATTGTAATATTTATTCCCTATTATGTGTGTGTTTGATTCAATGCCACTAATGTTGTTTTGTGCGTCTTTTTTGTTTACAGTCCGGGGAGCTAAGTTAAAGGATTGGGTGCTTGTCTTGTATGGAACGAAGCAACATCCACAGGAGCCAACCAAATCACGAACTAAAAAAAATAATGACTACAACCCCTATACTCAGAATTACTATGATAACCCTGTTTATCCAAAATCTCAAGTACATAAACAACCTTATAATTATAATCCAGAAAGAAATTACGATCCTTATAGGACTCGTTACCAGCATAACTATCCTAATAACAATGATCCATATGATCAGCGATTTTATCAGCGAAAACCTACAACCACATCGTCAACTACTTCTACCACGACAACCACCACCACCACCACTACTGAAGCTCCATTTCTGGCCAAGTCAAGCAATATAAATAGACATGTTTATCCAAACTCGCACTACAATGATCCTTTCTTTCAAAATCATAATTTCCCAAGCAAGGACCACATGTGTATTTTTGAAACGTTGGCTAAAAAGAAAAACATGTCTGCTCAGCAATACATGAGGATGGTACGAGAAAACATGACTCCAGGCAAGAAATATCTTCATATTGGCATGAAGTTGTTGTTTGTTACTCCTTAGTTGTTTGTTGTAAAGGGACACAACTCTTTTTTAGAGTTATATCCCTTGACGTATTGAGTTATATTGTTCATTGTTGTTGAATGACCTTTTATGGAGTACTATTTGGTTAGCATGTACTGAATGTATTTTATTATGTTCTGTTTTTAGTAGTATGTTGTTTGAGATGTTTTATTTTTTGTATATTTTTAGATCTTAGTAATATATTGTTGCTATAACGATGCAATATTTTCTGTGAACCATTAACACAAGTAACAGTTTTTCCTGTCAGTAATATTATAAGTATTTTTTTTTTATTTCAAAATAATTATTTTTTGAAAAATTGCTTTTATATTTTGCTGAGAAATTTATTATAATGTTTGATCGTTTTGCTTTATTTAGTATTTTTTCTTTTCTATTATTTACTTTGCAGATGATTCTTGTAGATAATCACTGTTGTGTGTGTGTGTGCATACTTTCATGTGCCTATAATTAATTTTACACATATTTCTAGCCTTCACCACATACAATATTTCCACAGTATTTAGGATTCACATATGAGTAGAAATATAAAACACAGACTGAGCAGGAGTAGATTGTTACATAAAAATGTCATAAAGTCTTAGTAGTCAGCAAACTAGTTTAATATAACTTATAAAAATAAAGAGATGTGAAAAGAGTTTATGAGATGTGTATCACCAGAGACCAAGTGATGTAGAAGGTTAGCAACTATAGGTCACTTTACTGGCTTTAACAATGAGCAAAACCCATACTGCATAGCAAGCTATAAAAGCCTATGAAATTACAAATGTAAAACAATTCAAAAGAGTAAACTAACAGTCTGATTTATGTACAAAACTGTAAAGTAAAAACAATTATGATATACATATACAGCAACAAATGGCAAATATAGTCTTGCACAATCATGACCTTTTGATCTAGCTATATCTTATACAATTTGTTGTACCGCAGATGACATACAAAACTCAAATCTTAATAGCAGTAGATTTTGTTGTAGCTTCCTTTTCAAGTTGTAATTAGGGGCCTTGGTGGCCGAGTGATATAAATAGAAGTACTGTATTACTAGCCTGTCAACACTGAGGTTGTGAGTTCGAATCCCACACATGGCAGGTGCACTTGACTCCAATCTTAATTGACTAGGATTGTCAGTTTTCCTACCAAAGGTCATTGTAGTAAAAACTGACCGCCATGAAATAGCACAATAGTGCTGAAAGTAGCATTACACATTTAGTTGTAATTCATATTTTTACACACATATTTTTTAACTGTCTCTAAGATAAAGTTTTTATGGTAACATTGCTTCAAGGATATTGTGATGTAACATTATTGTGGGGTTAAAAGATTGTGACCTGTACACATATCACATGAGACCATGTTTGATTAAATTCAAAGCTATATATGTGACCTATAGACATCCTCAGCCTTTGGTCTCTGATAAATAGTTGTCTCATTGGCAATCATACCACATATCCATATTTTCGTATTTATCAAATGATTCTGTGATGTTCATTTCCTGACCTTACTGTATAAGTTAAAGTAATAATTAATAATTGGTAGCTAATATTTTCAGTTTGGTACATAATCATATCCACACATCTGTTAAAAAGTAAAAGATAACACTAATAGACTGATACAGGGCAGAGTAACATTAATGGTTATTACTTTGAAAAATGGACTGATACAGGGCAGAGTAACATTAATGATTATTACTTTGAAAAATCGACTGATACAGGGCAGAGTAACATTAATGATTATTACTTTGAAAAATCGACTGATACAGGGCAGGGTAACATTAATGGTTATTACTTTGAAAAATCGACTGATACAGGGCAGAGTAACATTAATGATTATTACTTTGAAAAATGGACTGATACAGGGCAGAGTAACATTAATGGTTATTACTTTGAAAAATGGACTGATACAGGGCAGAGTAACATTAATGATTATTACTTTGAAAAATCGACTGATACAGGGCAGAGTAACATTAATGATTATTACTTTGAAAAATCGACTGATACAGGGCAGGGTAACATTAATGGTTATTACTTTGAAAAATCGACTGATACAGGGCAGAGTAACATTAATGATTATTACTTTGAAAAATGGACTGATACAGGGCAGGGTAACATTAATAATTATTACTTTGAAAAATCGACTGATACAGGGCAGGGTAACATTAATGGTTATTACTTTGAAAAATTATCAATCAAATAGCTGTTATTCTGAATGTTAGATTATTTTGTAGAAGACAAGATTTCAAACCTAACTACTGAATGTGTATGATTTATTGTACAATGCTATTATCATCTGTATAGTCAAACACAGAAGTTACAAAGTAACATCCTTCAGTTTTGATTTGACAGTAAATATACAATGAACTTTTTTTTTTTCTAATTGCAGCTCAGTTAAAACAATGGAGCTTGGTAATGAGGGGAACTCTAACACATCCTCAGAAAAAGAATGATTCCACTCCATCATATATGCCAATTCAACAACCATTTAAATGTGCGGGCATCACAAATAATGGAGTGTGTATAGGTATGTATGATCTTGTACAATGTGCTTATATTACATCTATAGGTACTTTTGGGTTGCTGTCTCATGTACATTATACTCTACATCTCTCTATATTCACAAGTGTATCGTAGAACTTGAGATTACCCAGTATTTATATGACACACACGACAAAAAGAAATTAAAATCTATTACATCTTGTATATTTGCAAACCAGAGTGAGGCACACAACAAAAGAAAATGATGTGATCTTATTATTGACTTTAAAGTTTATACAATACACAAATATATGACAACAAAATAAAGAGTGACACATCAAGTGTATACAAGAAACAGACAGCAAAACAAAATTATGCAATCTTAATTATAATAAGTTTGACATATCATGTGTAAACAATTAGTTTTGGTTGCCTGTGTCTATGCTTATCCCCTCTTATTGCCTCTTGTGATTGTATGTACAATTAATTTGATTTTGGATTTTCACCTTACATACTGACGCTGTATTTAGAGGAGGTAATCATACTTATATATGATAGGAAATTATAAGCTAGGGAAGATTCTGTAGCTGTGGAAAAAGATGATTAAATTAAGTATGTAAGCAGGTATTTTACTTAATGCCATAGGTCACTGCTATTTATTCATATTACATATCTTTTTAGTGTTAGCAATAGTATAGGGCTGATATGTATAAATTATGAAATTAGATAAAGGTACACATTTCCTAAGTCTTAAGCTAGGACCTTAAATTTATAACTGAAAATTTTAATATATGAATTTGGGTTTTTTTCAGAGTGTAAGCCAGGATTTTATAGATACGGAGAAGGATGCGTACCAAACTGTCCTGACCATTATTATGGAGAAATGGAAACAGTTTTAGTAGGAAACGGTGGAAATACTTCTTCCAAGTCCTCATCATACAACAGACATGGAGTCTGTAAAAAATGTAACGCTGCCTGTAAGACATGTAAGGGGCCTTATGTGACTGACTGTTACCAGTGCAGTAATGGTTATGAAGTGAGGGACGGTCAGTGTCACAAAAAACCTTTGATGAACTTCCTTGATCCAGATATGCTGAGCTTTTTTGTCTGGGTTATAATACTATGCACCTCGTTAATATTACTGTTTGGTGTTGTATTTATAGTGTTACAGGCAAGGGACCATAGGATTCTTTGTTGGAAAGAAAAAAGACATTATGATGATTCAAAGGGAAAATATAACGGTATAACAGTTAATCTGTCAGCAGGACAGGAGAGTGATAGCGAACATATAGAACATGTTTTACAAAACAGACACACAAATAATTTAAATACGTGTAATATATATCATAATAATTATACACACCAACATGCATAGCGCATGTTCAGTGGTAGTGTTGATGATTGTCTGTGTGTGTCTGTATGTGTCAGCTCAAAAGTGTAATTATGATTATGTCAATTTAATTCATGTTGCCAGTTGTCAAAATTTGTTTATTCATTTTTGTATTTTAATTTTTGTTTATGAATGTTAAATAGATGGAAGTGAGATCCTAGTTAGGTTATGTATAAAATATAATGTAGATTGAATGTTGGTAAAAGTTGAATTTAATATTATATATAATTTGCAATTGTTCTTTGAGGAGTTGTTAATGTACAAAAAATTACTATGAACTGTCTCATTTACTTTAAATGGCATTATATATTGGGTCTAAGGTTTCATTTTCAATTCTTTTGATTTTTCCTATATTGTTTATTGCGATACAAAATTGTAGTTAAATGAAAAATGCCTGAATTTTGTGAAAAATACCTGAATTCAGTTCCATTTTTATCCTGTTAACAAAAAAATCACCAAAGCCTGGCCTCTTATATTACTGAAGGGTCACTTTAAAGGCGGGTATAAATTTTGTGCATCAATTGATCACAGTTTTTGGTTATAAGCTAAATCCAAAATGGCAGTCTAGACTTGCAAAACTTTTGATAAATCTAGGTAAAAAACCTTAATTGATCATTTGCAATTTGCAATTAAAGAATATTGTTGTGATTGAATTTTAGGATGTAATAAGATGATCTTAAATTTATAAGTCATGTTTTAGGATGTAATAAAATTATCTTAAATTTATAAGTCATGTAATCATGTTATACAAAGTAAAGCAAACCCCATCTGGTGTAGGTAACTAGAATTACACACTAACATAGTGAGACCATTTTCTGTAATTATAGATAAATATAAATGTCAAAATTCGAACATTGACATATGATCTTGTTTCCTAATTTTCTTTGTGTCACCATACTTGTTTAATAAAAGCAAAATCAGACATTACTGATAGTAACATGTCATCCTATTGATTATGAGGTTAAACATAAACAAAATAACTGCTGTCAGGAAGAAGTTTACTGAAATCATTGTAAAGTATCTTGGCTTGTATTATTGGACTTTCTGAGATACTTAGGATTCTTGTCGCTACCTTCTAAAAGGCAGTTTTTTTATGTATACATCTGTGTTTGAATAGATATACCAAAACAATACAGAAAAAAAAATGTTTTCTTAGGGTCTTCATTGTCAGAACTATTTTCATCCAAATTAATATAAACATTTTGAATTCCATTTTAACCTTTGCACTTTTTTCAGTCATACTTGGCATTAAAAGTGTATGATTTTATTTGCTTTATAAGTGTAGGTTGTACATTTCATTAGATTGATTGTAATTAAAGCTCAATAAGATGTATTATAATTGTGACTTGGGAACAAACCATTTTGTAAATATTTTTGTGATGTTTTATTGCAATGTTTCAGACAGGGATCACTTAATTCTTTATTTTGTTTTGATTTGTTATTTACTATTTATTGATATTGGTAATCCTGCTGTTTAGCTTAGAAGAAATAATCTCCTTGTGTTATAGTCATTTCTGTAAAAAGAAAGCAGGTGTAATTGTTCTACTTTTTAGAAAATTAAGAAAGAGATATCTAATGATCTTGGAAATAAAATTTTTGAAAAAATTATATGAATGTAGATATGAAAACTTTGGCATGTAAATTTTTTAGCCTGAAAATCATGTTCCTTTCAAGCACTTTAAGTTTTATGTAACTAAGAAACAGTGTCCCTATTATATTTGGTTGTGAATCTTTACTTGCTGCTGTTAGACTTGGTATTTATTACAAAGCCTTCTTAGTACTTAACAGGAGGGAAATATTCACTTGATGAAGTACTGCTTAGAACAAAATCATGTAACACTTGTTATTTGCAGAACTGTGACTAACTGACTGTATTGTTCTTCTTGCTAAAGTATTTGTATTAACGTAAGGAAATGCCATTCATCTTAGTATCAGAACACATTGGCAATTTCTACTTACAGTTCTCTTTATTATGATTTTTCAAAACTTAGTTTGGACTTCCTCTAGCTACCTGTATTGTTAATTGGAACTACACACATATAATATGATATAAAAATAAGGAGATGTGGAATGATTACCAATGAGACAACTATCCATCCAAGTTCAAATGAAGTGGATGTAAGCAATTATAGGCAACCGTACAGCCTTCAACAATGAGAAAAACCCATACCGTCTAGTCGGCATGTTATCTAGTTTTTTCAGCTTTTGCAGTTCTGCATCACAAAATTTATAAGGAATTTTAGTACAGTTATTATCAGATAATGTTTGTAGAAAATGTTAAATTTTAGCAGATGTCATTATGCCTCAAAGCTACCTCAGTTTTAATCATACTCGTATATAGCATGATATCATTAGATTGATATTACTATTTCACTCTGTAAGAAGTTTATAACCTATACAATAGTTGTAACAGTGGGCTATTCTGTCAGGATATAAACTGCCAAATGTTGTTTACAGAAAATTAAACCATTAACAATTTTAGGTTTAAGTTGTTAATTTTAAGACCACCACTTTGAGAAAAACTCTGATATATGTATGCTGTGCTTGGTTTATGAAGGCTATGCTAAAATAAAAGTGTTAGGGATAGGGAACCAATTATAAAGCTTTGAATAGCTTCAAATCATGTAATAGTGTTTATACTGTGCTTTTACCCATGTCAAATCCTTACAATGAAATGAAATGACCACAAGTGTTCACTTGTTCAAGATGACAAGCCAAAGAAAGGAGTTACATATTTTTTCTGTAATATTTATTATGTTGCTATGGTAATGTGATAATGTAAATACTTATTGCTTGCCTTGTAAATGCTGACCTTCAGAATATAAACCATTAGATACAAAGAAACAGACAATGTTTATGTCTACTAAGGATTATGTTTTTTGTATTTGTCTAATTAACATTTCCTAACTGATGACACGTTTATAGTTGATTTTTGTTCAACATTATTTGTATTACTTTTGGTGTAGAATTATTCATTGCTATGAAAATTATCAGGGAAACATTTTACCTTTCTCATAACATATTGAGTAATTCACCTTTTTAGAACTTTTAAAAGATATGGATAATTTCATTGTTTATATATTAGAAACTACTGTTACCCCATTGTTTGGTTCTGTAATGAAATCACTGTTACAAATCACCATATTTTGATGTACACTTGTGATATTTTATCCAGAATGTTATAGATTTTCTTATACTGAATTAATGAATCTTGTAATAAAGCACAAATTTATGTACTGTACAATTAACAGGGAAACATGAAAATCTTTCCTGAATGATGTCAGATTACATCTGATAAATTTTTCATGGCAATCTTACTTACAGTTTTACAATGAAATAATGAATACACTAATATAGTATATGTTTCAATAGAAAGAAAAGACAAAAGATGGCTCTATCTTGGGCAAAATCTGTCCAGGAGATGTTATTCTCACAATTTTTATGCAAGTGGAACAGTTAATAACCCCCTCACTTATATTTTCATCTTAACAGTATTATGGCAGGATAAATTGTATTGTAAACTTCAGCCACAATCCTACAATTTTAAGATAAAGCAAAAAGTTTGTTGATAGAAAATGTAATCCTGACAAATGTCTGAGGAAGGTACAATGTATCATTGTTTATGCACAGTTCAATATAGTTATCTCAGGGTTTCCATGGTAACCTGGGCACATTTTTGTTTTGTTTTGTTGCATCTAGTCATTTTCTTTACTACTTACATTCAATACATGGGGTCTCCAATGGACTTTTAGTCTGCAAATAAAATTACCAGAAAGTTAACAAAAAAAGTAAAATAGTTCTGTATTTAGTCTTTCTACAATATTATTTTTGGTAACATAACTTTTGCAGATTTTCTATGTAAATTTATCAATGAAAATTTAACAGAAATCTAATATGATAGCAAGTACATTTGAAATCATGATAATATTTGATTAATAACAAGAGTTTACTGGATCCCCATGTTTGGCTGACTTAGACAATCATTATATATATATTGTACCACCAGAACCAACCAAGCAATATTTATACTCTTATGTTATGATGCATGGTGATTTTTCAATAAGTTATAATTGTATGATGAGAATAAATGATACAAATAAAACCATTTACCACCGTTGTTTGGTGTATTAACAATACAAATAAAACCATTTACCACCGTTGTTTGGTGTATTAACAATACAAATAAAACCATTTACCACCGTTGTTTGGTGTATTAACAATACAAATAAAACCATTTACCACCGTTGTTTGGTGTATTAACAATACAAATAAAACCATTTACCACCGTTGTTTGGTGTATTAACAATACAAATAAAACCATTTACCACAGTTGTTTGGTGTATTAACAATACAAATAAAACCATTTACCACCGTTGTTTGGTGTATTAACAATACAAATAAAACCATTTACCACCGTTGTTTGGTGTATTAACAATACAAATAAAACCATTTACCACCGTTGTTTGGTGTATTAACAATACAAATAAAACCATTTACCACCGTTGTTTGGTGTATTAACATTATGATAAAGAGATGTTATATGATTGCCAGCTGTTAACCAGAGACCAAAGGACATGGAGGTTAACAATTATTGGTCACCATATGGCCTTCAACAATAAGAAAAACTGATTCTGTATGGTAAGCTATAAAAGGCCCTGATGTGACAAAATTTGAAACAATTCAGAAGAGAAATCCAATGACCTCTTTTATTCTAAAAACAATAAACAAAAAAACAAATATGTCAAATAGCTACCAATGACAACCACTGAATTGCAGGACTATATACCATTGTCTTGTTATTTATTTGTGAATTTGTTCAATAACCTGTCCTTGTTTAAAGCTAACCTGACCCAATGGGCCATGTGAGCTATTGCCATCACTTTGTTTCTCGTAGTAAACATGTTTAAAACATCTTCTTTGAAACCACTTGACCACTTTCAACCAAACTTGAACTGAATGATCCTTGGGATATCTAATGTAAATTTTGTGTTTTTGTTTCTGCCTATCAAACAACATTGCTGTCATGACTTAAAATAAAAGACAAAGATTAAATGTATTAATTGTATGAAATCTTTAAAACCATAATAGATAGGGAACATCTGACAAGGCTGAAATTTTCAATTTCAAAATCTACCTTCTTTCTTTTACAACTCAAATTATCAGGTGACTCCTTATAGGAGTTATTGCCCTTAAATGACGATTTCGACTAGGTAATTTTCAAAATTTGTCTGTTATCAAAAAACTATAATTGATAGGTAGAAATTGTAAATAATAAAATGATCATCAAAACAAGATCTTCAAAAATTCCAATATGACATATACCATTGGTTGACTCCTTTTAGGAGGTATAACCTTTAAAGGATGATATTTAACTTATTTTCTAGTTTTTATATGCCCGTCTTAGACAGGAAGTATTATGTTGTACCGTTGTTGGTCCGTCCGTGGTCAACACTTCGGACAATAACTCAAAAACGCTTTCACCAATTTTCATGAAACTTTGGTGAATTGTTTATATCCATTTCAATTTTTATAAATTTTAGATTTTACGTTTCTGAGTTAGAATAAAAATGCATTGAGCAGTTTTCCTGAAACTATGGTGACTTGTTTATATCTATTGAAATAAGCTCCCTTTTGTTGTCTCGCCTTGACGGAGTCAAAAAGCGAGACATAGGTATGCTGTTTCTTGCGTCAGCGACGACCGCGACGGCGTCAACAATGTATTAGTTTGTGATTAGGTCTAGTTCATGGTGAACCACTAGTGGTAGGTCAATGATATTTGGTATGCAGTTGTATTAGCATTGGCACATCTCATCACCATGGAGATTATTTGGCCCCGCCCCCTCAGTCAAGGTCTATTAACTTTGAAACTTTTCATAGTTAACATGTATTAGTTTGTTATTAGGTCAATTTTTGGGAACAACTAGTGGTAGGTCAATGATATCTGGTATGCAGTTGTATAGGCATGGGCATATCTCATTTCCAAGGAGATTATTTGGCTCCGCCCCCTTAGTCATGGTTTATAGACTTTGAAAATTTTGCTAAGTTTACATGTATTAGTCTGTGATTAGGTCAGTTCAAGGGGAACCATTAGTGATACACCAATGTTAATTGGTGTTCAGTTGTATAAGCATTAGCACATCTCATTTCCATGGAGAATATTTGGCCCGCCCCCTCAGTCATGGTCTATTTACTTTGAAACTTTTGCTTAGTTTACATGTATTAGTTTGTGATTAGATGAGTTTAAGATGAACTGCTAATGTTAAGTCATTGATATTTGGTATGCAAATTTATTGGCATTTGCAAGTATCCTTTCCATGGAGATTATATAGCCGCACCTCTGATCATGGTTCATTGACTTTGAAACTTTTACATAGTTTACAAGTTAATGTTTGTGTTTAGGTTTGTTTAAAGGGAACAACATATAAAAAGTCAATGGTATTTGGTATACAGTTGTATTAGCATTGGCACATCTCATTCCATGGATAGTGTCTCATAAGTCGTTTTTGGCTGGTATCCTTTTACTAAATGTTAGGTTCTTATGACTTTATGTGTATATATATAGATACTGTAATGGATGGTGACACTTTAATAAAATAAATCTAATCTTATCTTATCTAACATGTTAAAGTATTGCAATTTTAATTTCAACATTTGCGTTATCAAAATTACAAAAGGCGAGACATATCTCTGTGATAACAGTTTATTTTTTATAAATTTCTGATTTGACATTGCGGAGTTTTGGAACTTTAATTGTTAAAAAATCATCAAAACTCATGTGCTCATGGCGCGGCTCTTTATTTCTTATTATTTTGGATACTTTAAAAGGTAGGAACAAGCTTCAAACTGTAATCAGCAAAAAGTATCAGTAATACTACAGTTGAGCAATTCAGGTTCTTAGGAGCCTGTTTACGGGACGTATTATGGTATACCATTGTTAGTTCGTCCATCTGTCCATCCATCCGTCCGTCCGTCTGTCCGTCCGTCCGTCCGTCGTCTGTCCATCCGTCCGTCCGTCGTCAACATGTCAGACAATAACTCTAAAATACTTTAACCAATTTGCATGAAACTTTGGTGAACTGTTTATATCTATTGACGTTAGCTCCCTTTCGTTTTTTATAAATTTTAGATTTTACGTTTCCGAGTTATGGGGTTTTTATTCATTAAAAAAGGGGAATTTAGCCAGTTTTCAGTCAATAACTCAAAAACACTTTCACCAATTTGCAAGAAACTTTTTGGTGAAATGTTTATACCTATTGACATTTGCTCCCTTCTGATTTTTATAAATTTTAGATTTTACATTTCCGAGTTATGGGGTTTTATTCATTAAAATAAATGTGGATAGTGTCCAGATGTGGACACAGATGATGCCCCGCTTGCACATCATATAGTTATAAAGGGACATAACTGAAGAACGGTAAAAGTGACGCTACCCAAATTTGAACTTGAGTTTTGTGGTAATAAGCATTGTGTGTAAGTCTCATAACATTTGGTTGAGGCTAACTTAAGTAGAGAACAGAAACTAAAAATTCAGCAATTTTTTATACGACCGCAAAAATTATATTGGTATGACGTTGGCATTGTCGTCTTCCAAAGACACATTGGTTTTTTCGCACAATAACTTTAGTTTAAGTGAATGGATCTCTATGAAATTTTAGCATAAGGTTCAATACCACAAAAGGAAGGTTGGGATTGATTTTTGGGGTTATGGTACCAACAGTTAAGGAATAAGGGGCCAAAAATAAGCATTTTTGTAACTTCCAGACAATAACTTGTGTGTTAGTGTATGGAACCCTCTGACATTGTACCACAAGGTTCCATATCTCAAAGGGAATGCTGGGATTGATTTTGGCGGTAATTGCCTCAAAATTTTAGGAATTAGGGGCCAAAAAAGGGGCAAAAAACAAGCATTTTTGTAGTTTCATGACAATAACTTGTGTGTAAGTGTATGGATCTTTCTGAAATTGTACTACAACATCCATATCACAAAGGGAAAGCTGGAATTGAGTTTGGGGGTAATGACCAAAACGTTTAGGAATAAGGGGCCAAAAATAAGCATTTTTCTAGTTTCCAGACAATAACTTGTGTTCAAATGTATGGATCTCTCTGAAATTGTACTGCATTGTACCATACCACAAAGGGAAGGCTGGGATTGATTTTGGGGGTAATTGCCTCAAAATTTTAGGAATTAGGGGCCAAAAAGGGGCAAAAAAACAAGCATTTTTTCTAGTTTCAGGACAATCACTTGTGTGTAAGTGTATGGATCTTTCTGAAATTGTACTACAAGGTTTCATATCACAAAGGGAAAGATGGTTTGAGTTTGGGGGTAATTGCCCTAAACGTTTAGGAATTTGGGGCCAAAAAACAGACATTTTTACAGTTTCCAGACAATAACTTGTGTTCAAGTTTATGGATCTCTCTGAAATTGTACTGCAAGGTACCATACCACAAAGGGAAGGCTGGGATTGAGTTTGGGGGTGATGAATCATAAGGTTCCTTTTTTTCCTTTTTTTTTTCTTTAAAATTTTACATTTTAAGTTGGTTATTTTTGATTTATATATAAAAGCAAATAATAATGATATGGTTTGATTTCATCAAAAATTGAAATATTGGGGTTATTTGATATGCTGAATCTAACCGTGTATTTAGATTCTTAATTTTTGGTCCCGTCAAATTGGTCTACATTAAGGTCCAAAGGGTCCAAAATTAAACTTAGTTTGATTTTAACAAAAATTGAATTCTTAGGGTTCTTTGATAACCGTGTATGTATTTAGATTTTGGATATTGGACCATAATAGGTAAATTAATATTTTTTAAGTTTTTAGACCACATTTATTCTGTGTCAGAAACCTATGCTGTGTCAAATAGTTAATCACAATCCAAATTCAGAGCTGTATCAAGCTTGAGTGTTGTGTCCATACTTGCCCCAACTGTTCAGGGTTCGACCTCTGCCGTCGTATCAAGCTGCGCCCAGCGGAGCATTTTATTCTATTTGTAAACACGCATAACTCTAGAACGGTTGTGTATAAGTTTTATAACATTTGGTTGAGACAAACTAAAGTTAGAGAACGGAATTGAAAAATTCAGCAATTTTTATGTTTATAAAATAGATTAAGTTAGCACTATGGTAAATTTAAATGGGTAATTATGGTTGCAAATTCCATTGGAAATTTGAATTGGGATTATGACTATATCTTGAGGGAAAGAATTTTTTGGGAGAAAAAGGGGGGGGGGGGGGGTAAAAAGAAATTGTGGGGGGTCAATTTTTTCTCGTTTCAGATTTCAGAAATTAAAAAGAATTATTCTTCAAATATTATTTATTTTTCAAATTTCAAATATTGAAAAATTTCAAGAAGTAATCTTTAATTGCACAGTATGGCGCATTAGATTTGTAAAATCTTTGACCACATTTATTTATTTGTTATGCCAAATCTGACCGTGTATTTAGATTTTTAATTTTGGGTCCAGTTTTCAAATTGGTCTACATTAAGGTCCAAAGGGTCCAAAATTAAACTTAGTTTGATTTTAACAAAAATTGAATATATGGGGTTCTTTGATATGCTGAATCTAAACATGTATTTAGATTTTTGATTTTGGGCCCAGTTTTCAAGTTGGTCCAAATTGGGGTCCAATATTAAACTTTGTTTGATTTCAACAAAAATTGAATACATGTATATGGGGTTCTTTGATATGCTGAATCTAACCATGTACTGTAAATTCAGATATTATTGCGTGCATTTATTATTGCGATTTTTGAAGAATGGACAAAAATGCGAGATTAATTATTGCGATTGCAGGAAAATCTGTATACAGATACATGTATGAGATATCAGAATGCGAGTTCTTATTATTGCGATATTCACCCAGTCGCATTATTCGCATTAATAAAAACCTCGCAATAATTTCTGAATTTACAGTATTTAGATTTTTTATTTGTGGGCCCCGCTATCAAATTGGTTCATATTGAGGTCAAAAGGGTCCAAAATTAAACTTTGTTTTATTTCATCAAAAGTTGAATAATTGGGGTTCTTTCATATGCCAAATCTAACCGTGTATTTAGATTTTTAATTTTGGGTCCAGTTTTCAAATTGGTCTACATTAAGGTCCAAGGGGTCCAAAATTAAAATTAGTTTGATTTTAACAAAAATTGAATATATGGGGTTCTTTGATATGCTGAATCTAAACATGTGTTTAGATTTTTGATTATGGGCCCAGTTTTCAAGTTGGTCCAAGTTGGGGTCCAAAATTAATCTATGTTTGATTTCAACAAAAATTGAATATATGGGGTTCTTTGATATGCTGAATCTAACCATGTATTTTGATTTTTGGGCCCCGTTATCAAATTGGTCCACATTGAGGTCAAAAGGGTCCAAAATTAAACTTTGTTTGATTTCATCAAAAATTGAATTCTTTGGATTCTTTGATATGCTGAATCTAAACATGTATTTAGATTTTTGATTTCGGGCCCAGTTATCAAGTTGGTCCAAATTGGGGTCCAAAATTAAACTTTGTTTAATTTCATCAAAAATTGAATATATAGGGTTCTTTGATATTCTGAATCTAACCATGTATTTAGATTTTTTATTTGTGGGCCCCGCTATCAAATTGGTTCATATTGAGGTCAAAAGGGTCCAAAATTAAACTTTGTTTTATTTCATCAAAAATTGAATTATTGGGGTTCTTTGATATGCCAAATCTAACCGTGTATTTAGATTTTTAATTTTGGGTCCCGTTTTTTAAATTGGTCTACATTAAGGTCCAAAGGGTCCAAAATTAAACTTAGTTTGATTTTAACAAAAATTGAATTCTTGGGGTTCTTTGATATGCTGAATCTAAACATGTGTTTAGATTTTTGATTATGGGCCCAGTTTTCAAGTTGGTCCAAGTTGGGGTCCAAAATTAATCTTTGTTTGATTTCAACAAAAATTGAATATATGGGGTTCTTTGATATGCTGAATCTAACCATGTATTTTGATTTTTGGGCCCCGTTATCAAATTGGTCCTCATTGAGGTCAAAAGGGTCCAAAATTAAACTTTGTTTGATTTCATCAAAAATTGAATTCTTTGGATTCTTTGATATACTGAATCTAACCATGTATATAGATTTTGGATATTGGACCATAATAGGTAAATTAAAAAATTTTAAGTTCTTAGACCACATTCATTCTGTGTCAGAAACCTATGCTGTGTCAAATATTTAATCACAATCCAAATTCAGAGCTGTATCAAACTTGAATGTTGTGTCCATACTTGCCCCAACTGTTCAGGGTTCGACCTCTGCAGTCGTATCAAGCTGAGCCCAGCGTAGCATTTTATTCCATTTATAAAGGGGCATAACTCTAGAATGGTTAAAGTGATGCCACCAAAATTCAAACTTGATCTGTGTTTTGTGGTAATAAGCATTGGCAAACTCAATTTCGAGAACGGAAACCAATTTTGGGACATACGTACAGACGGACAAGGGTAAAACTTAATACGGCGGGGGCATAAAAAGGGGGATTTTCCAGTTTTCAGACAACAACTCAAAAATGCTTTGAGCAGTTTTCATGAAACTTTGGTGAATTGTTTATATCTATTGACGTAAGCTCCCTTTCGATTTTAATAAATTTTAGATTTTACATTATTAAGATAACCTCCCTTTAGTTTTTCATAAATTTCTGATATGACATTGACAAGTTATTGAATTTTGAAAAAACGACGGCGTATCATGCGCTCATGGCACAGCTGTTTATTGGCTTATATCTCAAAAACTAAAGCATTTAGAGCAAATCTGACTGAATGTTCATTAGGTCAAGTTCTATCAGCCCTGAATTTTTCAGATGAATCTAACAACCCATTGTTGGGTTGCTGCCACTAAATTGGTAATTTTAAGGAAATTTTGCAGTTTTTGATTATTATCTTGAATATTATTATAGATAAAGATAAACTGTAAACAGCAAAGATGTTCAGCAAAGTAAGATCTACAAATAAGTTTTTATATGACCAAAATTGTCAATTGACCCCTTAAGGAGTTATTTCCCTTTAAGGACAATTTTACACAATTTGTTTATAATGTTTTCTAACTTTAAAAATTCTTCTCCTCTGAAACTACTGAACCAAATTAAACAGAACTTAAAAAAAAAACTCCCCTGGACTTCCCCTATATTTCATTTGATTTGTTTTATTGTCCCATACAAGAATATATATGATTTAGGGGTAAGGATCTCGACCGTTTACAAGTTCTCAAACAGGAGGGGGGTGGGGGTGACCCAAGGGGACTCGCCTTATATTTCATTTGATTTGTTTTATTGTCCCATACGAGAAAATATATGGTTTCGGGGTGGGGTTCTTGACCGTAAACAAGTTTTAAAAAAAAAAAGGGGGTGGGAGTTTCCCCAGGGGACTTCCCCTCAATTTCATTTGATTTGTTTTATTGTCCCATTCAAGTATATATATATATATATATGGTTTAGGGGGTCGGGATCTCGACCGTTTACAAGTTATCAAAAAGAAGGGGGATGGGGGTTACCCCCATGGACTTCTTCTATATTTCATTTGATTTGATTTATTGTCCCATACAAGAATATATATGGTTTCGGGGTTGGGATCTTGACCGTTTACAAGTTCTCAAAAAGAAGGGGTGGGGGTGACCCCCATGGACTTCCCCTATATTTTCATTTGATTTGTGTTATTGTCCCATACAAGAATATATATGGTTTAGGGGTGGGGATCTCGACCGTTTACAAGTACTCAAACAGGAGGGGGTTGGGGTGATCCCAGGGGAATCGCCTTTCACTTCATTTGATTAGTTTTATTGTCCCATACAAGAATATATATGGTTTCAGGGTGGGGATCTTGACCATTTACAAGTTTTCAAAAAGAAGGGGGGATGGGGGTTACCCCAGGGGACTTCCCCTTAATTTCATTTGATTTGTTTTAATGTCCCATTCAAGAATATATATAGTTCAGGGGTGGGGATCTCGACCGTTTACAAGTTATCAAAAAGAAGGGGTGGATGTTACCCCCATGGACTTCCCCAGTATTTCATTTGATTTGTTTTATTGACCCATACAAGAATATATATGGTTCAGGGGTGGGGATCTCGACCGTTTACAAGTTATCAAAAAGAAGGGGGTGACCCCTGGACTTCCCCTATATTTCATTTGATTAGTGTTATTGTCCCATACAAGAATATATATGGTTTAGGGGTGGGGATGTCGACCGTTTACAAGTTCTCAAACAGGATGGGGTGGGGGTGACCCCAGGGGACTCGCCTTATATTTCATTTGATTTGTTTTATTGTCCCATACAAGAACATATATGGTTTCAGGGTGGGGATCTTGACCGTTTACAAGTTTTCAAAAAGAAGGGGGGTGGGGGTGGTCCCGGGTACTCCCCCAATATTTCGTTTGATTTGTTTTATTGTCCCATACAAGAATATATATGGTTTAGGGGTGGGGATCTCGACCGTTTACAAGATAAAATTTATTTCCATGAACAAAGTAACAAAACACCAAAATAATTCTCTAAAATTTGGTATGACTTAACCACTCATAAATCTCTAAAATTAGATATAATTTTATATCTATCAATTAAACACATCACTTTTCAAAACAAATAACTCAAACTTATTTCCATAAACCAGTAAAAAACCAGTAACAAAACACCAAAATAATTCTCTAAAATTAGATATGACTTAACCACTCATAAATCTCTGAAATTAGATATGATTTTATATCTATCAATTAAACACATCGCTTTTCAAAACAAATAACTCAAACTTATTTACATAAACCAATAAAAAACCAGCAAAATACTTCTCTAAAATCAGATATCATGTTATATCTATTTCCATATTATAATCAAATTTAATTAATAGTTGCTAATATTGTTTCTTATGTTCTCCTTCGCTTGCTCATCCGAACATAAAACTTTTCTGATTACTTCAAAGACAACTAAAGACTGATGTGAATTGAGAGATGCACCAAAGCAGTTCGACAAAACAAAGGTAAAAGTATAAATGTGTAGTGTGGCTATTGACATTTCATTAATAACTATAAATTCAAACCTTTGGGAACTGGCAATCTATTTTTAAGGTTTTCTTTTATGTAACCGTCTTTAGCCAAATCCGTCTTCCAACGACCATGTGATTTTAATAGTCTTTCAGGGATGCGATTATGTGCAGCTTCTGAAACCCCGCCGCTTCTTAAACTGTGAAGACCAAATTGTTCTTTTTTACAACCTACTTCTGACAATGTGCTTAATAACAGCTGTCGAGCTCGTGTGTATGACAATGGTTTGTTAGCTTTACACAAAATATGAATATTCCTGGACTTTAAAAAAGAAATAGCTCTAAAGATAAACTCATCTGAAGAAAGGGAAATATTTGCTGCTTTCAAATATCTTTTTAACATTGCAACTGGACATAAATCAGAGTTAGTTTTTGCTATCACAACTAAATTGCCTTGTCTGTAAACGTCGGTTTTGCTAGATACTATGGTGATTTCGACATGCGAATCGTAAAATCGTAAATTCGGTGCTTTCAAATGAGAAAGTTCACTGTATCTTAAAAATCCCGCATAACTCAAAAGGACTAAACAGCAAATTCTTAAGTCTGCTAAATAAGTAGATAAACCAAATTTTTGAATCATTTTGTCCTGTCTTAGGCATATTGGAAGCCCTAATATTTTGTCTTTAAAATTCTCGTCTTTCTTGCAGTATTCTATGCATGTCAGTAAACGATCTAATGTGAGAAATTGTGACTTATGCAATTCTATTTCTGTTTCACCTTTCATAATATCAACTGATTTCATAAACATGATCAAAAATGTTGGTGAAATTTTCTGGATTTTCAACCCTGAAAAACGCATGCTTTCCAAGACAAACATTGGTGTGTCAACGAGTTGTACTCCTAGACTTTTACATATATCAGCGATCGTAAATGTCTTTCTACATTTGAAAAAGGCCCCGGTTATGCTTTGTATCCGAGTTGAGAAGGGAAAACTCGCCTCATCAAATTGTAAACTCTTCCAAACGGCTTCAAATTCTTTACGGTTGTTTCTTAATGACACAAACTTAATGGTATTATCAACGCTAATAGCAAATAGTTCAACATTGGATTTGTGTATGTATTTATAAACGCAACAAATTAGATACTGCACATAATTATTTTTAGCTTTCTTTATGTTGGGGAAAATGCTGTGAAAAAACGTAAGACTGAATGTAGTTTCGTTATCTAACAGTCGACTTGTTTCAGTTGGTTTAGCTGTTTTTATTCTTTTTTGTAGAAATACCAAAGCTGAAACATAGCATGGAGCAACGATCAGATCTAATATAAGCTTGTTCCAGTTTGATCGATAGCTTTGACGATCCTCATCCCACAAATTTCGCCTGGTTTCATGATCTAACACAAAGTGTCCGTTAAAATGAATCGGAAGACAAGTGGAATTCTCTAAAGGTAAAAAACAATATGGCTTTCCTTCAAATTTTTCCTCTGCTTGTTCAGTTTTTGTAATATCAATCGCAATTCCACCTCGAGGCATCAGATTGAGTTGCATATTTTGAAGAGCGATTGTAACATCATTTTTGCCTTTTTCTACTGTAAATCCCAAACCATTCACAATTAACCAAGATTTCTCTATTCCATTGCTATCATAAACAGAAGCTTCATACATAACATCTGATGGATTTATTTGGCTGTATAAGCCAGTCTTTGATACAATGTCAGCTGCCTGGCAGACGTTTTTAAGAAATTGTTGACGTCCTTCTAAATTGGATTTGTTTATATTAACTGAGTAAATCTCCTGCAATGAATTATCCACTATTTCCGAAAAGGTAACTTTTTCTATATTGGTAACGAATAAGAGTAAGTCAGGTAGGTCGCTTACGAACAAATCTAAGATATTTCTAACATACGTTTCATCTACAACCGTGTTCTTCAGTTTTGATTGCTTCGCAAATGAAGCTGTCCTAAGGGGTAAACGAAATATTGTTTCCTTTTCTTTCAACAGTAGATCAGAATGGTAGCATTCAAACACATCCGAGTAATCCTCCCAAAGTTCCTCAAGTTGTATATATTCTATACCAGACGCTGATGGTGTTGCATCAGGAACACAAATACAGTTTGGATCAAGAACACACAAAATCCGCCCACTTTCAACTTCTGGACCTTTGGTCAGAAACGATGGAACATCAGTTAAATGATAGACAACATTAAAGCCAACACCATATTGTCCTGTTTTTGTTGGGTCCATCCGTTTACTACAGATGCCTAAATCCTGTATTCCATCCAAATCTTGCTCAGAGAAAGCACTATCGCTGTATACAAGCAAAGCAGGTCCTTGTAAAGGTTTCCATGATTCATCAAACAACTTATCGGACGGATGATTATTGAAATCTGCCACTATGTGGATTTCAGACGCCTTTGCGTCGTCCGCATTTTGTACAAGTTCTTTTAAAACACCAGAATCGCATGGATACCCGTCTAATATACTCTTTATTCTTGTGGTGAGTTCCTCTCGCTGACCAAACCTCCGTGTCCTTGAACATAGTTGAAGTTTCTTTTTTCTTTTGGATAGTATTCCTAAGGATGATGCTAATGCAGGTGATATCAGTTCATGCGTAAATCTCATTGGTCGCCTAGACTCAATGTCACTTTCTTGGACGCATAATAACTTTGTTGAGGTTAACACATTTGCATCATCAGGAACCATAATACTAGGAAGTGACTTAAGCTTTGTGTGTTCAATGTTCATAGATTGTTCAAGTTGAAACAAAAGGTTAATATAGATTTTTATGTCCCTATACGGAAGTGGGGAATTGTGGTATTTACTCTTAAACGAAACAAATGTATCTAATATTAAATTCACTCCAACTCGTTGTCTGATCCCAATACACTTAAGGAAATGCTTTAAATATTTCAAATGGGGCGCATTGTGAACGCTGTAGAAATATGGTTTACAATCATAAGCTACTTCTTCAAACACTTTCTCTGGACAAAGAAAAGTATCATGCAAAAATATGACAGAATAACGTTTCATTTCCTCTAAAGAACTGTTCAGTCTTCTCATTCCCCAAGTATCACTTTGAAGTACACCATTCAAATACATATATATTTCCATTGTCACTGTATACAAAGTTTCAACGAGCTGATCGTTAATGTCGAATTGTTTGCTTTCTTTGGCAATATTTATAAGATTTCCAAAAACGTGTTCTACATCTAGAGTGTAACGCGTTTTTATTCCAATTTCCTTCAATAAATTTGCATAATGCGCACTTATTTGTTTATCCAATACCAACATTGTAGTGCCAACAAGACAATAACAGTCATACAAATGAAGTTTATTGAAGCTTTCAAAGGGGACTGGTTCAATTATGTTGTGGTTTTGATTTCCGCATGATTACACCTCTGTGTTAAAATCATTTTCTTTATTCCCGGCCCATGACAATTTCCAGGATTTGGGTTGCTTCATACATGGAAGAAACTCTTCATTTTCTAGCAATTCAATGTGTAGATTAATGAATTTTTTATTTATGTATTCAAGGAAATTTGTACATCGCTCTATAGCACACCCTGTGCAAGTCTTTGCTTTTGCTTTCACTGTTCTTGCTCTATCAATAATTAAATTTGGAGTAAGCGTGTTTGTTATCACATCAAGTCCACTCGTTGTGAACAGTTTGCTAAATGTATATAGTTTTGATGATTGGCTAACGAAGCGTTCGTCGTCAATATCGAAAAGACCGCTAACGAACCCGTTTCTGTCAACTATTTCGTTGGCACATTTTAATTTTCCGTGTGGGTCTGTTGGGATGCATGGATAGTTGTTTAGTAGACAAATAACGTCCTTATCACACCCGTTTAACGCAAACATAATTACTCCGTCCCTTTTGCCTTCCCAGATGGTATCAGCAAAATTTGGTAGAATAACGTGTTGGTAAAAATGATAGACTGTTATCATTTTCTGTAAAATATACGAGTCACAGTCAGCATTTTTGAAGCAGATCAAGACATTCCTTGGTATTTTGATAAAAACTTCATCTTTCCAGTGTAGTTTCCTACAAGCTTCTAGTGCTACATCTCAAAAGTTCGATTCAGCAATGTCGGGGTGCAAAAAAGCACATTCATCAAGTGAAACACATCTCGAACCACCTGTTCTAAACACTCTGCATTTACTTTTACTAATGTAATTATATACCATTCTTTGGAGAATCCAAATATTATCTGTGGAGTTTTTACTCCTCAGTTTTGGCCACCGTTCGAAATATTCTTCAACCGGATTGATATTTGAATTTTGGAGATATATAAGAAACTTTATATAGGCATTGCATACTGCATCTTGCATCAATTCTTTATTCCAGATACTTTCAAAAGAAGATTTGTCATCTGTTGAGTCGGAACAGAGTCGCTGGCGATCTGCAGTAACAGCAAAAAAATCCGTTTATATGTACTGGTAGGTTGGTCTCTATTGGTAACGGAAGGAAACAAAAAACATGGCTAGTTCTGTAAAATCCCAATGGAAGTGACTCGAAGTTAATCGACCGAATTTTTCCGTCATCTACTTAAACTGGGCATGCTATTGATGCAACTGCTGAAACTCCTTTCTCTTTATACTTAACTGACATTTTCCAACTACTGGACGTCCCTCTTTCCCAAGTAATTATCCATTTAGTATTTGAATTATACTCCTTAGCTCCAAGATCTTCTTCGGCATAGGAAAAAATTGAAATGTCAAATATTGCACTAAATAATGATGGGAAAGTTTTTAGGTTTTTCGTAGACTGATGTTGAAGTTTGACTTTGGACAAGCTCTGTAATACAGTTGTGACGTTGTCAATATCCTTGCTTCCAACTGGTATATCAATTGGCCGTTTAAATTTTCGTTCAATTCTGAAAACTAGTTTAGATTCAACGGGGCTTCTTCCGTCGTCTTGTAGAAAATATAGTTCCACTGACATCACGTTTTGAGTGAACAGAAGAAAGTTGCCTCCAGATTCCATGAACATATTCAGAAGTCGTACCATTTCTTGTTTATCATAAACAGTGTGACTTATTTCACTTAGATCAGCCTGTGGTCTTGTTCTTAAAGGAAACCTAAATAAGGTTCCGTTATATGATAATTCTCTGTCCTGTGACACAGTGAGATTGCAGTCAAAAACTCCTTCATATGGTAAAAACTGGGTGCGCATAGTTTTTAACATATTTCTGTTTCTAGATATGTTGATTTTTACTCCTGGTTGATTTTTATTTTTTAAGGCTGTTCCGAGATACTTCGTGTGAGGATCGAAAATAACAATGTTGTTTCCACTTATGAAACTTGGGAGCTCAGTTAAGTTGTACACTGAACAAAACCCAAGACCAAATCTCCCGATCTTTGTTGTTCTTTTGTCGCACCATTCAACTTTGTGATGTTTTCAAGGTCTACTTGGGAAAACTGTGCATCATTGAAAGACCATAACGCTGGTCCCTGGCATTCTACCATTCCTTTATCAATCAATTTAGTGCGTGCGTTTTTGTTTTGACGTTCATCATACAGGAAACACACTTTTGTTGCACCAGCATCGTCCGCATTCTGTATAAGTTCTTTAAATACTGAAAAACCATCTTTGTACTCCTTTAGCAGGGTTTTGAGTCTTGTTGTCAGTGGTTCACATTGTCCCCATTCTTCCAGCCATTCTGTGTTCTGTAAAAGTCTGTCAGTAAGTGAAGGTACACCGAGTTTAATTGCAGTATCCATTGGTATGTCATGGTGTATATAATAAACGTCGTTCCCGTCTTCATCAGCAGAATCTTTCAACCAGTCTTCGTTGCAGTAATTGAATTTCGATGCAGGCTGTAAAACCAGTTTATTTGCCTTCTCTGTGTGTACTGGAAATAAAATTTCATCTTGCTGTATTCCGTCTTCTTCTTTCAAGATATTTAATATTTTAACGACTAGCTGTAAGTCCTCTGTAGAATCCTTTTCGCTAACTTCATTAGAATCGTGTTTTTTCTTTATCAATTTAAGGACTTCGACACATAAATCCGAGGGATTATCAGACAGGCAGAATTTTGTTTCTGTGAAAAATGTTTTGAATTTTTGAAGTTGAAATTCTCCTGGCAAGGTATACAAGTAGGGTTCAAAATTGATGACTGAATGCTTATTTTTTGAAAAATAAATCTCCTTTGATCGGACAAACTTCGAACCTACCCATATCCATTCTTTATCTTTGAATTCATCAAGCGCCTCTTTCGGATAACTGCCGTAATTATCTACTTGGAAGTGAAAGATGTCGCTTATTAATGGCAACAACTGCGGTTTGTATATATCGTCATAGCTATGAGCTATTATCAGTAATTGTGCAATAACGTTTTTCACATCTGGTGTTTTATTCCATGAACATTTTGTAGCTAAACTTGCACATGCAGAACTGCTTACTAACGGTAATACTCGAATTTGAGTCCTAATTTTCTTAAATATTTCAAATCAATATTAGTCTTCTTCACATCTGGAAAGTCTTCTTCCACAAGGATTAGTTTTAAACCTTCGTCTTCTGGATCAAAATATTCAATTGCACATTTTCGTCTCCCCTCATGGTCATATACAAATCGAATATGTTTACAAACTTCCAAAATACATCCATGTAGTTTATTTGGAAACCCTTTCAAATGCGTCAGTGCGTGCTGGAGAACATTCCTCTGATCAATTTCTGAATAACAACCAATGTCGTTTTCTAAATACTTTAAAATATTCACCACTGCACTGTTGAAATCAATTTCGTCCATCTGTAATGCAACGGCTAGATTATAATGTGGTTTGTTTCTTGCATCGATGTTTTCAACAAAGTATTGTACTGATAGATCTTCTGTATGAACTATTAGCGCCAATTCGTTTCTTGAAACAAAACGGCTTGTGAGGCGCTCGGTAAAGAGATACAGTGAAGAAAGTATTTCCGCCGCTCTGCAAGGTATCGATTCAATAACAGACATAAATGACACAAAATCATCTCTATCAGCTGCTGTGCATTCCTGATTGAAAGCTTTAATGAGTTCATCACGACAACTGTTAACACTAACAGCCTCTAAAAGTCGACATACATTATAGCCTGTCGGTTTGAAGACATATTGGTCGATAGCTGGAAGTTCTGAGATCTCTCCCCACAGCGCAGGCAGTATAACAATATCCAACAAACTGAGACATCTACATACACCATCTGGTAGCTCTTTAAAGTCTTTAGATGATTTGATGATAAACTGATTCGATAACTTACATAGTATCGTTTCTTTTGTATCATCTAGCAACAAGGTATCGTCACTGATGATTGGCACCATAAATAGATCTCTTAAGAAACCGAGGTCAAACTTTCGGTCCTTCAGGAATTTCCAAACTTTTTTCAGCCATGTTTCGTTTGTTCTTTTGTTGGTCGTTTTCCAAACAAGCCTTTCTCCTATTGTTGTTCCAATATTTTTCTGTAATGTTGTTCGTAGTAGACCAGCTATTTCTTTATCTGTTGACTTTGAGAACTCCTGCAACTGAAATAAACCTAAACAAAAAAAATATTTATTAGAACACTGAATATTGAAACAGAAGAGAAAGAACCTCTTTGTCATCAAAATTATCTTCAATTTATTTAAATGAAAGTAAAAGATTCGATGCTCTTATATACGATTAACTGTTTAATATTTTGACATAAAAATAACCTATCTGTTTTGTTTCCAATGCAAGAACAGTTGTAAGAATTCGAACTAGCAGTGTAATAAAATACTTGGCATAACAGTTAAACAACCAGCACAGCATAACTGTTTTTCTTAATTTGTGTTGACCATTAATTCGTGACGCAATTTAAGATATAACAAAACTGAAATTTCAATAATTGCATTTTCAACATTTATAATTTGATTTATTACCTATTTTGCAAATATTTAGAAGATTGTCATATATTTTCTTTTGAAGATCTTGTTTCATGAATTTTTCTTCAAGTCCAGGAAATAGTTCGATGACATTCTGACTCACATACACTATGTCGTTGGAGGTACGGTCAAATTCAGCAAAGCATTCATTGTGCAGAGGGAGCAATGGAACACCTTGTAGAATGCTCTGGTCTTCACAGGCAAGCAAAAACTGTAAAATGTTCATTTTGCCTGATTCTGGCAAACTGTTTAGGTATGGTATGTTCATGAGAGCTGCTGCAGCAACCAATTTTCCTGTTATAGTCACAATCTCTATTCCTTTACGTTCAATAGCAAACAAGATTTTCTCCTCGCTGTCAACTATGTTTTCCTTGTTCAGCAACAGAAAATCTAGAACACTTTTTCTTACTTCTATAATAAGAAGTTGTATTAAGTTTAAAATCTATGTTTACAGTTTAAGTTGACATTAAAACGTTAAGTATTCTAGTTAAAATCAACCGGCTTTATCACATTTCAAATTGATAGTAAACTCTTTGTCCACGTATAAATATTGATTTTATACTGGATTGAGCGAACCGTTTTAGCATTATACAAAAATTGTAATTATAACAAACAGCTTTGTGAAATACACAAAACAAAATTTAAAAACTCTTCTAATAGAACTCGAACTCTTAAGATGTGGAAGCTGTTCATTCCAATTTGAGTCCTTTTGTATTTAAAGGCTTTATTAGATTATTCACTAAACGTCCATAAACACATTTCCTGAAGACCTGTGAAGACGACAAACAATATTTGATGGTTAAATTCAAAATTTTAAGTTATAAAAATAAAGTGAATAACAAAGTTTATTTTATCGATGGTATCAGAGCCAAGAAAATGAAAATTTGCCGAAACTAACATATACCACAAGCCCATTTTTGCCTATGATTTAAGACAACAGTTTTTTGGGGGTAAAATTCTAAATAATAGCTATAGTAAGTCAAGACGAAAATATTAAATTAAAACTTTTAAAGACACAAAGTTGCTGACTGCTGCTAGTTTCTGTTTGAATACGAGTTTACCTATCGCTTCTTATGTTTGTTTTAATATGACTTCGCTTACCGCTGATAGTGTCTTCAAAAACATCGAATACAGCTTCTTTGATACTAATCCAACATCCTCCATTGTTTTCTGTGAACAAAAACTTGCTTTTAAAGAGTGAATCAAAAAATGGCTCTAAAATATTCTTCCAGTGTTCCGTTATCTGTCGACAATCGGGTATAATTCTTGTAACTATGGCAACCGAATCTGGCGTAATGGTGTGGTCGATTAACTCTAATATAACATTGTAGTACAATTCCGCGAGAACTTCCGTTATCAAACAGTTATTCCATCTCAATGACTTGTCCTTGTAAGTTCCTTGTCTCATCTGATCTGCAGTAGGCCATTTAACATGTCGTCTATTCTGACTTAGAGCAAAGTAACCATTCGCGTGCACAGGAAGTCCTGTCATACAATTCTCTGTTAACGGCAATGGCATAAGACAAAACACGTGACCTCTGAACTGGTCCTCTTTCATAGGAACTGCAATGCTAGTATATGGACTATAAGACAATGATTCGTCGAGAGAAAGAATTCGCAACTCTTCAGACATATTGCAACCTTTCATACAATGAAAAATGATCCATTCGTCTGTATGGACATTGCCTTTATTAAACGTTTCAACAGCCATGCTGTAATTAATGCCAAATGTTTTGACATGATTACGTCCTTCTCTCACGCTTTGAACAGACTTGTCCGAAATGTTAACACTATAGACTGGAGAATTGTCGTAGTTTTGGTCTCGTCTGTAAATCTCGTCTGTAAATCTCCAATCGATTTTTTCTAAACATTTTAGAAACAACAGTTCGACTGGAGCTTCGGCTTCAAATGCTTTAAATAAGTCCATCACTTTTATCTCATCATAAATGTTTTCTGAAAGTTCTGTTTTCACATGTCTCATTGGGAACCTAAACAGTGTACCCTGGAAATTCCCCTTTTCTATGGTCTCTGTAGAAAATCCAAACATACCTTCAAATGCTGCAAGGCAGTCAGTTACATCCATTCTCTTTTATTTTCTCATTTTCTCATTTTTAATTTCATTATTATGCATACCCGATCAGAACGTTTCTGGTGGGGATCTAAAATCAGTAACTTTTTTCCACTGATAATCATTGGGTAATCTGAAATGAAATATATTCTTGTTTCTTAGCGCCTCTGTCTTAAGATTTTACAAATATTTGGATGAAAACAGTCATGTTTGTTACCGGACTGACCTCTTATGTTGCTCGCGATCCAAATTACCGTGCAATTGCAAATCGCAAAATTATCAATTATTATACTAACTTTACTGCACCAGAATCGCATTTTGACAATAAATGCCTCTTTAAACAGTTATGCACGTTACCAATATATTTGCAAATCCAAAACTAATTCGAAAATTAAAGATCTGATAAAACAAAAAATAATAGAGTAAAAGTATAGCCAAAGCCGTTCAAAGAATCAAAATTTTGATTAAGAAGATAAATTCCTCAAGTCAAAATAATTTCAAAAAATTTATAATTTTGTTACAGCATATTTCAATAACAAAATATACATATGTTCATGCCAGTAGAGAAGTACTGGCACCTGGGCTGGAAATACCTCGTGGACTAGCAGTCCACCAGCAGAGGTATCGACCAAGTGGTAGTAATCACAATAACGGTGCCATATGTATTTGACCAGATGTGTATTTCGACAATAAATGTCTCTTTTTAAAAAGATCATCGAGATCAATATATTTGACATCCAAAAGTTATCAAAAAATTGAAGAGCTGAAAAATGTATAGCCTGAAAGCCAGGCAAATTGTCTTAAATGAGAACTCGAAGAAATCACATAAATTTCGTTTGACGTACTATTAAACTCTAGATAGTGTGTTTTTTTCAAACTCATCAATACAAAATTCCATTCAGAAAAAAACGAGCTTAGAATTTATTTTCTAGAGAAAGAAATCATTCTTGGTTTCACAAATACAACACTCCAATTCAAATAACTTTAAAGTAGTATAGATCTATCTATAGTGTATGTTGTATATAATAATACCTGTTATATGAAATACTGATTTAAATCCTAGACCAAATCGTCCAACTTTAACCATAAACCAATAAACCATAAACATGTATCACCAAGTCTAGTATAAGATTCCCCAAAAATGCATCTGACCTCAACAACTATTTATTATTGTGATACTGTGTAATGGTATTATAAAAGTCATAAACATGTATTACGATTTTTTAGACAATCTATTTCTTATTACATTATTACATACATCTCAGCATAACGCAAGCATGAGATTCAAACAATAAAAAAAATCTTATATGAGAAACTACCGTTTTCTAAATGAAACCGTCAAATGAATATGTACAAATATGCGATGAAATACACTAAAACAATTCATGCTGAATGTTTTATTAATGGTGAATACCTTAAACAATAATTCATAGGAATACAATGAAGTGCCTCAGTCATGGTGAATGCACTAAAACTATTCACTATGATTTCATACCTTGAAAAATTCAAGTTGATGACTTGAAGTAATTTGTGTTGAATATACTTTATAAATATATACCTTAAAATACTTCTTGAAATATTGTTTCTCAGTGCTGGATATATCTTGGTTGATTTTGCGTTCGTCATACAAAACTTTCATTAATGAAGCCTCGGCATCTTCGGCATTCTGGATAATTTCCTGCACATAAAAATGTTGACACTATAGCAACAAAGGCAACTAGAGGTACCAAGGACCTGAGTTGACCACCTGGTATTTATCAATACAATTGGAATCATACAGGACCCTTTATGATAATATACGTCTGCTCTATATGGCCTACATAATATACGCAAGGAGTGCAATCACTTGTCAACAATCAGATTTCGTGACTTACATCAGATTCTCAGTCACTATAAGTTTGATGTCAACTATATTTATCAATAAGAACAAACTTCCTGGACACAAAACGAGATTTCTAGAGCAAAGGTTGGTTTTATATTTACTTCCAAATCCCACCCCCATATTTTTGCAACAAGGGCATTGCAAAGGAAGGTGACATCTATGAACAGCCGATCGGACAAAATTGAACAAAATTTAAAAAAACAGACATTTAATACAAAAACAGACTTCAAAAACGAAAACAGACATGAAAAATGTGCAAACAAACGTTAAAAAAATTTAAAACAGACGTCTAAAACGAAAACAGACGTCAAGAACGAAAACAGGCAAAATTAAAACAGTTTTGTTCAATATTGCCAAAATGGCTGCCCATAGGCACCAATTGTACTTACATGAAAATTGAGAATCTTTTCCATAAAGCTTGCAGTGATCTTGATATATTTGACTTACAATCAAAACTAAAGTTAAAGTATTAGTCATTTTCATACTAGAAAGAGCTGGAGAAAACAGGCATTGGGTTTTTAAAAGAAATGCCATTGGAAAAACTGCTTTCAAATCCGATTCGTGACTTATCCCCGTTTAAATCCTGTTAGAATATAATTTACATGTAATTTGATACCCTACAATTCATAAGAAAATACAGAGACAACTTTTTTCCGCCAAAATTTCCAATTTCTAAATACTTGTTTCTTTAATTCGTCATAGTTTTGATTGATAGTACATTAACTAGTAGGTGTATTAACAAATTTTAGTTTTTATTGTCAAATTCATTATTATTAAAAAATGAAAGCATTTAATTTGTATATACCTTTAAAATCTGTCCGTCGTCTGGGTATTCATCTAAAATTTTCTTCAGCTGATTTATCAGAGGAGGCTGTAACTTCTCCGAATATTGAACTTCATCGTCTGATGATTCATCTGATTCCTCCATTTTGTTTTCAATCACTCTCAATTAATCTCTGAAATCTGAAGAAGTTTATATTATACTTAGTAGTAAACATAAATACTTTTTTCTTCAAAACTGCATGCACCTCTTACACCGTGCTAATTGGAGTCATATCTAAACCGAAAAATTCAGAATAAAACTACTGCGGCGTGAACTATATAGTAGTACAACCTAAAAAGTTTAGTTTTTTCCCCGTTGAATAGGGTGATAACTTCTGCATAATTCATTTTTATTCCTTTCCTGTTGCTCTAACTTTTCCGTTGTTTGCTCTCCAAGTTATGGCTTTTATAGTGTTTGCATAAGAAAATCAATAAGATTGTGCATAGAACGCATAAAAACGCATATAACGACACATTTTACTTAGATTTATTATACGTTCCTTCATTTTGTTGTCTAAAGACATGAATTATCCAAAACTGGATAGTAGAGGTATAAACGTTGTTTTTTTTTAAATAAATGTAGTCGGTTAACGGGATATATATCTGACCTGTAGTCAAGTCCCTATGGTCAGATAGTTTTTATCTGTAGCGGTTTTTAAGATAATAGACTTGCATTTTACCCTTTAATCAGGGGTGGATTCAGGCGGGGCGTGGCGGGCGTGCGCCCCCCTACAATTTGCCAAACATGGGTTGTCCTCAGCTTAATAAAGAATATTTCGATAATTTTACCTCAAAAATTTTTTCGACTCGCTCCGCTCGGCGATAATCTATGTTTGCGCCCCCTAACCTAAAATCCTGGGTCCGCCCCTGCTTTTGCTCAATTTTTAGCCATGTGGGCCAGGTTGGTTAGAAAGCAGAATCATTGGACATTTTCTTTGATTTAGGTGCCCCAATGATGATTATGGCAAATATGATTCCAATTGGCTTAGTAGTTTCAAAAACCTGGTAATAAATTGTTCAAATAAGGCCTTTGAAAATAGTGGAAATAATTACTTTTGGAGTGTCAAAAATTTGTTGGAAGTACTTGATAAATTGCATGCTTATATTGGTGATTTCGAATCTGTTCAAAGTTTTGATTTTTCTATCCTATATACCACGTTGCCTCATAATCTTATTAAGAAAAAAATCACACACCTGATTAAATGGGCATTTAAAAAGTCGGAATGCGAATATATATGTTCAAACTCTTTTAGGTCATTTTTTAGTAACAACAAACAAAAGAACTATGTCAATTGGACCTGCTTTGATACTATAACTGCCCTTGAATTTTTACTAGATAACATTTTTGTCGCTATGGAGATTCCGTATATCGTCAGGTTATCGGAATTCCCATGGGGACTAACTGTGCACCACTTATTGCGGATCTGTTTCTGTATTGTTATGAGTTACAATTTATGACTAAAATCAGCAAAGACCCATCGAAACAACATCTGATTCAACTTTTAGATATTTAGATGATATATTGGCTCTCAATAATGACGACTTCAGTATGTACACAAAAGAGATTTATCCTGCCGAACTAACTTTAAATAAAGCTAATACTAACAATGAACACTACCCTTTCCTGGATCTTGATACATTTATCTTTAACGGGAAGCTTAATACCAAAATTTATGATAAAAGAGATGATTTTTCATTTCCTATTGTTAATTATCCATTTTTAAATGGTGACGTTCCCTTGTCGCCATCTTATGGTGTTTATATATCTCAACTTGTTCGATTCGCTCGAGTATGTAACAACGTATTTGATTTCAACGAAAGAAATCTCTGTACTACTGAAAAATTATTACACCAGGGTTTTCGATATCACAAACTGGTCAAAACATTTACTAAATTTTATCATCGGTACAAGGACATCATTCGTAAATATAAATCAACATGCAGACATCTTATACGTTCAGGTATTTCACATCCAATATTTTATGGTAATATTCTTTACAAAGCACAAAAATGTCGGCATTCACCTCAAAAGCTTACCAAACCTTTAAACAGACTTATTCGGAAAGGATATAGTTACAATACTGTTGTCAAGTCATTAAGGATTGCATATTTTGGTATTAATATTGATTCACTCATAGGGTCTTTGCATCGGAAATAAACACATTTATTCTAAAACCAGTTGTTGGCATGATACGGGTTATGTTCCTCCCATATATTTTATGATGGTATGATACTAAACCCATAACGGGAGGGAGTGTACTTGATTTTGATATGATGTTATAATCTTTCAATAGTTTAATTGAGGTCTGGAGCTGGCATGTCAGTAACTGCTAGTAGTCCTTTGTTCATTTATGTATCATTGTCATTTTGCTTAGTTTCTTTTGTTACCTATTCTGACATCGGACTCGGACTTCTTCTAAACTGAGTTTTACTGTGCGTATTGCTATGTGTTTCTTTATTCTACATTGGCTAGAGATATAGGGGGAGGGTTGAGATCTCACAAAACATGTTTAACCCCGCCGCTTTTTAGCGCCTGTCCCAAGTCAGGAGCCTCTGACCTTTGTTAGCCTTGTATGTTTTTAAATTTTAGTTCATTTATATGTTTTGGAGTTTAGGGTGACGTCCATTTTCACTGAACTAGTACACAATTTTATTTAGGGGCCAGCTGAGGACCACCTCCGGGTGAGGGATTTTCTCGCTGCGTTGAAGACCCATTGGTGGCCTTCGGCTGTTGTGTGCTCTTTGGTCGGGTTGTTGTCTCTTTGACATATTTCCCATTTCCATTCTCAATTTTATCATCAGAGAAGAGTATTTGTAAAAGTTAACGGACGACGACAGACGCCACGTGGTGATAATAGCTCACTTGACCATTCGGGTTAGGTGAGCCAGTGGCGGATCCAGAACTTTTCATAAGGGGGGCCCGCTGACTGACCTAAAGGGGGGGGGGGGGGGGGGGCGCCCGCTCCAGTCATGCTTCAGTGATTCCCTATATAATCAACCAAATTATTCCCACAAAAGGGGGGCCCGTGCCCCTCAGCCCCCCCCCCCCCCCCCCCCTGGTTCCGCCTATGTGAGCTACAAAAATGTAAAAGGAGATGTGGTTTGATTACCAATGAGACAAAAATCCAACAGAGACCAAAGGGCACGGGTGTTAGCAACTGCAGGTCACTATATATACAGCTTTTAACAATGCGCAAAAACATACCATTCAGTAAGCGATATGCTTCTTTGGGTTTTGACGACTATGTAGACAATTCTATATTATAGTTGTATTGCTTTTTTATATATCTTACAGCAATTGATAGATACATATATATATCCCTCAGAATCAAGGAATATTTTTCCAAGGACACCACAAAAAGTACCACTGATAGTAACACAAGTGATCTCGACTCAGATGACGACCAAGAAGATGTCGATATTCCCAGATTCAGGGAAAAAAGTTCATGGATTCCTAAACCCAGTAAATGTGCTACTTTAGAACATATTATTGACAAAATTAAATCCGACGTAACACATCTGTCCACTGCCACTTCCCAAACATTCAACAATTTATCGTATGAAGAAAATGAAGCTGTGCGGCTACTTAAAAACAGAGACGACATTATAATAAAACCAGCAGATAAAGGTAGCGCTGTTGTCGTCATGGACAAATGTGACTACATTCAAGAGGCAGAACGTCAACTCTCTGATGAGAGATTTTATAAGAAATTAGACTCTGACCCCACCCCTCAATTCAACAAAGAGATCACCACAAACCTGAAAAACATGTGTGAACAGGGACATATTGATGAAAACACATTTGAATATCTAAAACCTGAAAAATCAAAGCCGGGGCGTTTCTATCTTCTGCCCAAAATACATAAAGTCAATAATCCAGGTAGACCAATTGTTTCCGCTAATGACCACCCTACAGAGAAAAAATCAGAATTTATTGACTTTCATCTGAGACCACATGTGGAAAATTTACCATCCTATATACAAGACACAACACATTATCTTAAGAAAATGGAATCTTTGAACCCTCTCCCACCTGAAACGATCCTTGTCTCGCTTGATGTTACCTCCCTCTATACTAACATCCCCCATGATGATGGTATTGAAGCCTGTAGGGAAGTCTGGAACTCTCGTAACACCTTACATCCACCGACTGAATGTCTCATCCAGCTTCTAACTTTGGTATTACAATGCAATAACTTCACATTCAATGGTGAACACTTTCTTCAAGTAAATGGAACAGCAATGGGAACAAAGATGGCCCCGTCTTATGCCAATATTTTTATGGGAAAATTAGAACAGAGAATTCTCAATTCTTCTCTTTATCAACCCCTCTCTTGGTTCCGATTTATCGATGATATTGACATGAAGTGGGATAATACTGAACAAGAACTAAATTTGTTCATTCAACATGCCAACGATGCCCATCCCTCAATAAAATTCACATATGAAATCTCTGACTCTAAGATCACATTTCTTGACACTACAACGCAAGTGAGGGATGGAAACATATTTACACATCTGTATTGCAAGCCCACAGACAAACATCAATATCTATCTCCTTTGAGTTGTCATCCTAAACATTGCACCAAGAGCATTCCCTACAGCCAGGCCATACGAATAAAAAGGATTTGCTCCACCAGCGATATTGCAAAAAAAACGACTACCTAAAACATCGGGGCTACAAAAGAAAAGACATTGATAAAGGTTTTTCTCGTGCTAACAACATCAGCCGAAATGAACTTTTACAATATAAAGTCAAAAAGGTCAACAGGAGGGTGCCTTTTGTGTTGACTTACCATCCAAAATTTGACAACTTATCTCACCTAATACGCGATAATTGGAAAGAAATAGAAAAACATCCTAAACTATCCAAGATCTTTCTCGAGCCACCTGTACTGGCTTTCCGTAGGCCCAAAAGCATTAAAGACTTGCTGGTGAGAGCTGATTTATCCTCTCAAGCAGGCTCTTCGTCTGTGGGCTCTTGCAAGGGTTGCGGAAACAAACGATGTCTGACTTGCAAACAAATACTGGTTACCCAGACTTTTAACAGTCACTCCACTGGTACAGAATACACCATATTTTGCAATGTTAATTGCAAGACTACAAATGTTGTGTATCTTCTACAGTGTAAATGTGGTAAACAGTATGTTGGCGAGTCAGAACAGCCGTTTCACAAACGAATGAACGGTCATCGTAGCGACTACCAATGCAAGCCAGACCTCCCTCTCAGTCGACATTTGAGATCCCCTGGCCACACTAAGGCAGATCTCAATCGACTGACCATTACAATCATTGACCACAACTCTGCTTGGTCTAGGGAGGATAGACTCACTCGGGAAAGATTTTGGATAAGAAAATTAACAACTTTGGCACCAAATGGGATAAATGAAAAGATGTAGTTCAACTCCATGCAGTGCTTCACATTTGGGTTATATTACTTATTATTACAGTCTCTGTTTCTATTTCTTTACTTTACTCATCTCTAAAATCTGTTGAATATACCAATTTAAATTGCTTAATTTTTTGAGGGATGTAAAAGTGCCAAGCCACGTTCAACTAGTTAACCTTAGTCAAAATTTATTATCATATTTTAACGGCCGTTTGTTTGCGATGTTTAAATACGCAGACTCTGTTGTAACTACTCTACCGTTGTCAAATTTGAAATATTTACAAATTTAGATCGTTCAGTGCTGTTTATTTGGAATTCTATTTGACGCAATCGTTCTTGTAACATCATAACTGTCGTCACCGTTAAAGCTTTGGAATTGTGCTAGTTCATATCGCACATTATTATTTTTATTTAAAGCATATATTTGAACTCTCTGCTGTAATTAGTCATATAACCTATGTCGTGTTTAACAAATATTTAGAATTCTGCAAGCGTCTTACCTGATGTTCGGTTTGACTTTTTGATTGTATAAATTTCAAGATTGTTATAGTTTAATTTAAGTAGACTGATATATGATTCATTCAACATCACAATCATATTTACTGATGAAGGATATCTGTTATCCGAAATATTTATAAATAATTACATTTATAGTTCCTTTTTTTTGTTATTGGTGTTGTTGTGTACACTTTTTAGGCGTTTATATAATTTATTTATTGTGTACATGTATCGTTACTCGTAACGATCCAGCGCCCTCGTGGGAAAAATCGTTGACTATTATTCAGACGTTATATATATATATATATATATATATATATATATATATATATATATATATATATATATATATGTGTATAATAAAGTCTAAATTGAAAACAACGTTCAAACCTATGATTGCGTTGGATAAAAACCGCAATTTTTATACGTGTGCATGTAAAACAAATTTCTTGGTAGAGGGGTCTAAATACAGCACAAACAACATTTTCCAAAAGACCAAAATAGTGAAAAAGTATATTTTAACAAAACGCATTTGACTAACAGGTCGAACAACGGATGTTCTTAAACCCTGCTGACTGCCATTGGCGATTGCCAAATAAATTCAAATTTACAGATCTAACATTGTTGGGCTGAATTTGAGATTATTTTAATAAATGATTAGATTCATATACATTAACATCATTTGATTCTTTTTCAAATAAGGGGGGTCTCTCGGCACTGCTCTTTAACTCAATCTATCAATTTCGTTTTATATACTAATTACAGATTGTGGTCTGATGTAAATCTGATTATTGTGACTCCTCTATCATTTATCTTTTATTCAGTTACAACATTTCTTTTTTAAAAGTTACCAAGTATGTGCGTATCTTATTATATTGCCTTCTTATAATGAAAAATCCTCTCTGAAACCCCCGAGTCAGTTGCATCGGAGGATTCACAAATCCCACATTATGATGAATGCATATAGTAAAAGCTACAACTTCTAAATACATATTTAATTTTCTATAAATGAAAAATATAACCTTTTTTCAACATTCTTTAATATCTGCCACTTTCTTGGATCATAACCGATGCACTGGTTTTGCGCCAATTGGCATTTCATTTGCGCAAAAAAATCTTTCATTTGCGCTACAAACCATAATTATACTTATTTGCGCAATAAAAAAACCATTTCATTTGCGTCAATTATACAGGTAAATAGTATAAGACATATATTGAAAGAAACTGGCCGTGCGAGACCCTCATGGGTAGTCAAGGTCGTTAAAAACCACACTCATCAAGAAAAAGAGACTTCTAATTACAATGTTACAAAATAACACCTGGACACAATTATCGAACCCTATGGTTGCATATGACATACAAACTTCGAAGTCCTTATTGAACAGACCAGAAGGATGAGACAAGCACAATCTTTTATGGCAGTACCTCTTAATATTTTAGAACAAAGTTTAGTGTGCACATATTTATACAGGGAACACTTCCAATGTTCCAAATAGGGAATAAAAGGATAGTTATCAGTACCAAATCAGATGTTGGGTAGACTCTCTAATTTTGGGATTGTTTTTAAGATTTATATAGAATAAGGTAAACGCGTCCATTTTGCCATTTTTTGCCAATGAGACACACACAGTGGAGACGCATATCAACCAGAGACCAAAGGACGTGGATGTTAGCAACTAAAGATCATCATGTGGCCTTTAACAATGAGCGAAAGTACATACTATATAGAAAGCTATAGGATGCATATGTCTAAGCTGCTGGTTACGGACGACCGTGTGGTCAATTATAAATATATATATATATGTGTGTGTGTTGCTTTTTGTTGCTTAGTTGCTCTATTGTAAATATGTGTTCTTTTACTGCCGTTCAAAAACTAACAAACATTGTATAGATTTATATCTTTTAAAAAACATGCGAAATGATTTATTAAACTTACCTAACATATTAACGATACTCAGAGTATGTCAAAACCTATAAGAAGGAAGGAAATGTGTGGTTTTCCTGTTTGAATTGTTTTACACTAGTCATTAAATATATCTAGCTATGTTGCAAGATGTGCATATTGTCAAATTATAAATATACAAATGGTTTAGTCTCTAAGAAAAATAGTTTTACACTAAAAGCGCTTTATTGATAACTCTTGTCCTAAAAAATGCACACACTTATGTAGCTGTTAAATTAATAATGAACTTCAATATATATTTTGGCTTTACTAGTATTTTTATTTTATTGTTTTAAATTTTATGTATTTTTTTTTGGGGGGGTGTTGTGTTAACCCATGGAATATAACGTTCAATAGTCGACATTTCTAAATCAATTAGGAAACGTTAGAAGCGGCACTTGAAAAAAGTATACACATTTACCCTATATGTAGCTCCAGCTCAGTCCGTTCCCCTGTGCCCCCCCCCCCAAAAAAAAAAAGAAAAAGAAAAGAAAAGAAATAAATATAAAATCCGCCTCTGACTTCATAAGTTAAAGCCCGGTGGTAATAGATAATGTATAAATGAAAAGCAAAGCAATCATTTGCAAATTTATAACTGTTTTCAGATGGCTCGTTCAGTATCCTCGAGCTTCGATTGAATACTAGTAATATAATGTTTAATCATCGTGTTGAGGTATTTGTGAAGAAATTGTAGAACATTTTACCTGATACAATTTATCGAAATATCGCATGAACCTTATTTTTATTTATAGAAAACTGCAATTCTTTAGAAAATAAATCCTCCAAAAATGAGGGAAAGTGCTCAAAAAGTAAAATATATCTTCGGTGATCAATATTTATACGTCCAAAACCAAATAAAGGCATGGTGTCTAGGTCGAGGAATAATTCTAAAATGCAACTTATGTTTATTGTTGTTGAAACAGCCTTATGTTGAAGGTTTTGTAGTTGCCCAAAAAACTACCATCTGCGAACATCGACCAGTTTGCTTCTCTCTGCTAAGAAAGCAAATTTATTATTGTCAATTTAAAGTTTCCATAAGTTAAGAAGTGGTTATATAAAACTCGAAAAGAAATAAACGAGCTAAATACTATGCAAACTGCTTCTTACCTACGGGGCGGACCTAGGATTTTTCAAAAGGTGTGCGTAATTCCATAAAACTGAAGAATACCGCCGAAGTTTGACATATTTTTCAATCAAAACAAGACATACATGTACGCTTTCTCCTCTCAACCTGAATCCGTCACAGGCCTTACAAATACGACATAGTTGATCAATTAACAACTTTGTACACACTTTGTCGCTTCAAAATATGAAAAAGAAAGTGTTTCTCGTTCCTTAAACTGGGAACATTTTATGATATTTTGGGGTTAAAGGTTGATAAGTGAAACTTTTTTCTGTTTATTTCGCACTATAAATTTAGGTTCATCTCTCTTCGATGAATCTTCCTCTGAGTATATTCTTAATGGAAAGAAAAGCAATAAATCTATACTCAATAATCCTTTCAGTTATGGTTTATCGAAAAAAAAAGTATATCAAACGAATCAAAAACTGTATGAGATGTGAGTTATACGTCAATAAGACAGCAATCAAACGACAAAAACAACATAAGGACATCTAGAGGGCAACATAGAGTATCCAACAATAGACAGGTGTCTGCACAATATGTCAAGTTCTAAAAGTAACGATTAATATAAAAATTGTGAATAAATTTAACAGAAATGATTACAGATCTTCCATTACAACGTAATTCTCCAAATAATATAACAATCAAATCCCAAGCCGTGCAGATTAAATGACATATACCAACTTGCATGTTCAATAACTATTACTTATTGCAGCATTGAGAAAATAGCAGTTTTACTCATGCTTTCATGGGTTTTTTTTAATCTGATTTTTTGGAAAGATAATATTTCAAACCAACTAGTTTTGTTATGCAATTTATCTACTCGACTTTTTTAAGTAGGACAATAAAGTGGAAATAATAAACTCTACAGTTAGTTTCTTTAAATAAATATGAAAATAAATTGATTGAATCGCACGAAAAAATCGCTGCAAAGTCAACTAAATCATGATTTATTGAACTACAATTTCCAATTTTCACAGCTGTCTTAAAATTATTATATAATTATTAGCCTGCGTGTGCATGCATTAACTTTCAATATGCAAATTTTAAGTCAATGCAGGACAGGTGATCTCCCGGAAGTCACCTAATGCATTTTACTAAAGCAACACTGTGGTTTTCTGAATAACTTTGATGAGAATATTATGTAGAAGCATATCTACAAAAGTATTTCAATGCAAAACCATAGCCAAGAAAAGTTGGGCTCGTAGACGTCCAAATATATATTCATATTTCATAAAAAATTTAGTTATGCAAATGTTATATATTTGTTTTTCGTTCATTATTTTGCACATAAATTATGCCGTTGGTTTTCTCATTTGAATTGTTTTACATTTGTCATTTCGGGGCCTTTTATAGCTGACAATGCAGTATGACTTTGCTCATTGTTTAAGGCCGTACAGTGACCTATAGTTGTTACGTTCTGTGTCATTTGGTCTCTTGTGAATAGTTGTCTCATTGGCAATCATACCACATCTTCTTTTTTATATTTGCTACGTGTAATTTAAGTAATCAGCAACATTTAAAGTGCTTAATTTTTTCAGAGTAGGCCTTCTATGGAAGTATACTTATAACTAGAATTAGTTTTGTAACTTGCTACATTTTTTCATACCAAATTAATGAAAATAACTTTTTTTCATTAGTTAAAACATATTTTATTTGCTTAAATATGCAAAAGGGATGAGACACAAGTTAATCAAACTTATAAAGTACGTCTTCTCCCATGAACAATTTATAACAATAGAATTTTTTACAAAGCATGCATGCAAACAATACATTATATATATTGGATATGTAAAATGATGATGTGTGATGATGTGAATGGTTGTACACAATATACATGTATACACACTTTAGTGTGCTATATTACACAATTAGAAACCTCTTTGACTCTTTGATAAATTCATATACATTCTTTAAAATTCTTTCATTTTCATAATTAGTTTATAATGACGAATCACCTGAGGTTAAGATGTTCAAATTTAGTGGAGAGTTCTCTGGTAACAAGTTCAGATTATTAGATAGTTTGATTCTTATATTCGTATAATTAGGACATTAAAAAAAAGTGATATGAATCTTCACGCTTAGCACCACAGCTACAAGACGGATCTGAAATTATATTGACTCTGTTAAGGTCATAACTCAAAAAAGAGGCTGAGCATCTAAGTTGAGTCAAAATGATGTTGAGTTTACGATTGCCAAATTCATAATGTTTTGAATTCAGCTTAAGATTTTTTAATTCGGTTTTAAATTTACCTGAAGAGTCAATGTTGCCGGTCACCACATTAAGGTTATTCCACAGTCGTATAGTTGAAGGTATGAAGGATTCTTGGGTCAATGAAAGTCTACAAAAAGGGTATATTATTATAATATAGTTGCCAACTCACATGATATTCGCGTGTAATACACGCTTTTTCGACGGTTTACACGCGAGAATTTTGTCACATGGCGTGTATGTAAGACATAATAGTGTCCTGTGAAAAAGTGTCCACCTTTACAGTTTTTCATAGAATTTTGGTATTAAATAATGTCCATTGCAATGAAATATTGTCGCTCAAGTGGACAGATTTTTACTGAAAAAGTTATGATATAGTGTCCACCCACAGGACAAGTTTTCATAGTAGTTGCTATTAAATTATGTCCTCCAAGGGAAGTAATACAAAGGTCATTAAAAAGTTTTATTATATACTTGAATTTTAATAAAATCTGAACGATTGATTAGAAATTGATTAATATACAAATGTAAACAAACAAATAACGGATGAAGGTGAATATAGAGACATTTAAGTTCTAAGAAATACCCAGCTAATGCTATAAATGACAATGAAAGAAGAAAAATAAGAAGGAAGTGTGTAAAGTATAAAATCGAATGTGAAGAACTTTACTATATTTATTATGAGGAGAAGGCAAAAGAAGAAAAGAATTTTGGTATTAAATTTGTCCATTGCCATGAAATATTGTCCCCTAAGTGGACAGCATTTTACAGCAACAGTTATAAAATATGGTCCACCTACAGGACAATTTTTCGTAGTAATTGTTATTGAATTGTGTCCTCCAAGGAAAATAATACTGAACAACATCTGTTACTTGTTTGAATTTAAATCATTATACATTTATTACTATATATATATAAAAATATTAATTTTCGCGAACCATTTAGGTCACGGAAATTCCATTTTTTGCCATCAGTAAGGAGAGTTGTACAAATAATGTGAATACACAGAACCCCGATCCAATTCATCTTTTGCTAAAAATATTTATCATTTTCTGTTTTATATCTCCTAACATCATTCCATTTTTCTCTAATTGCGATTAAAATATGCCAAAACCTGCAGTAAAAATAGATGTATGCCCCAAATAAACATTCCCCGATTGGTTGAACTAATATGGCGTCAATGTAAAGCAACGCAAGCCTCGATGTAAAGCACACGCTTCCCAAGAGTAAGGAGAGTTGTACAAATAATGTGAATTCACAGACCCCCGATCCAATTTATCTTTTGCTAAAAGTGTTCATCATTTTCTGTTTTGTATCTACCAACAAAATCTTATCTATTTGATGAAATAACTTCTTCATTATAACTGTACATGCAATATTTTTGAAGTTTTTGATAACCGTGCGCATTCCCATTGCATGTCCGCAAGATAAATGGGTTATGCATTTGTGAATTGTGCAAGTACAGTTATATTGTGTAATAAGAATAATGGCGGAGGATAAAAATTTGTGACGGTCAGTGCGTGATCACGTGACATTATTATTTGTAAACAAACGGGCTCCCCATGTAACACGTGTCGGAACTATCCATACAAGGTGCAATCAATCTTATATTTCACTATTTGATGATATTTCTGTGTCTGTTTGTAGGTTGTGCAGATCAGATGTCATAGTGTAGTTTCATAGACAA